AGCGGGATCCAAACCCTAAAGGAAATACAAAAAAACTTTCCAGTTTGAGATGTACAGATAAGAAAAGACATTTAAAACCACCACATTTTTTCTGCTCTCAGTATCCTGACATCCAGAAATTTCCGGGGCAGCTACAAGGGCAGTGCCAATCAATACAGTCCAACTCCAAGTTATTCATCCTGATAACTTCAGTCACAGAATAATATCAATGCAAGTTCAGATAAACAGCAGCAAAGGTACAAACTCCATCAGGGCTATTAAGAGCAGTGAAGCCTTCACACCCTGTTTGATACCACACAGAATATCCTACAAGACACAGCACAGACAGCATGACTTGCAAAGATATACTGCAAACCCCTCTCCTCCAGTTGCACCAGCAGGGCTGAAAGTGCCAAGAGAATGAGGGCAAACATGCAGCTCACTCACAGGGGAGGCTGACGAAAGGAAAGGTCAAAGTCTCTGCAAGAAGGTTTTGTAAGAAACCCAATCCCCAGGCTCCTCTGCAGGGAATCATTGCTTTCAGCTCCCGCTCTGCATCAATCTGAGCTACTTTAGCTCTATACTGTGACGTTTAGAAGCGTTTTGGTACAACTGATGACAGCAGCACACAATAGCCTTTCCCCAGCACCCATCATTACAGCCTACCTTTAGCTCAGCCACAAACGTATTCGCTCTGACAATGTCCAGAGTTGTTACCCCAAAGATTCTGTTAGGATTATACACGCCGTGCTTCTTGAAAATCTCTGAAGTTATGGGGATTGTTGAATTCACCTGCAGGCAAAAACATGCAAGCGTTCACCGAGAACAGGAGCAGAACAAAACCAATGCATGAAATGAACAGGACAATAAACATCACATCTCCAACTTTAAGTCACCTGTAATCAGCCAATTCTTCACAGTAAGAACAACTTAGAGGCAAGCTGGAACAAGCTTTTTTATTTTAAACAACCAGTGAGACAGTAACTATAGCAGTATGTATAATAACCAGTCAGAGAGAAGCTGAGGTATCAATCCCTTCTACATACAAGTTTAATCTGACTTCCTTATATCTCAAGAACAATCAAGAGCCAGGCTTTTAGTCTTTCTTCTTGTTTTCCTGCAAATACTCCATAAACCTCAAAGATACTGGTCAAAACTAGCAAGAACTTGCAGATTATTTCAGTATTCTCTGACTGGATTTTCTTTTCTACATTTTGAAGGTCTCCAGAAAATGCTTACCGGGTTGGAAATAATGCAGATCATGGCTTCTGGACAATGCTTTGCACAGGCAGTTGTTAAAGAAGCAACGATGCTGGCATTGGTGTTGAACAGGTCATCACGGGTCATACCTAAAACACAGTAAATGCTTCCAGTACCTGTAGCCTATTCATCCCTCTCTGAAGTCACCTCCACAACTGCAGCTGGAACGTTAACTGATCTGTGCAGAATACTGCTAGCTGCAGGGCTGCCACCATGGAAATGCAGAATTAGGATGAGAAATGAATTAAAGCCTAGACTTTTGTTACATTCCCAACAGTATACTAAAAAACAAAACAAGACAGTGGAAATAGAACAGATCAGAAACTAGAAAGGCATTGATTCAGAGCTGCTCAGAGACACTGTACAATTACTGCAGAGCAGACTATTCTATTCTGCTAAGAAAAGAAACAACGAGGCAGGTTTTGAACGTATTGCTGTGGGCAAAAAATATCAGGGGAGACTCAGGGTTAACTGCAGTGAGAAGTCTTTGCACCTCCCCCTTACAAAAGAAGCCCAGAAATCAATGTTTCACCCCACTTTATGAGCAATGATCTAAGCAGTGACTAGCTGAGGTACCTGACACCACAACAAGCTCTAGGTCAGGGTCATTCACAGACCACTTCCATCCCAAGGCAACCAGAAAGCAGCACCACAGCCTCCTGGAACGTACTGCAGCTCTGCAGAGATGCATTCAGTGAAGCCCTGGGGCTTTTTGTCATGGAGAACATACCTGGTTTCCTAGGGACTCCTGCAGGGATCACTACAACATCACAGCCCTTCAAACATTCTGGCAATTGCTCAGGTCCCAGGAAACCTGGAATGGAAGATTTTTAGACGTTGTGTTTTCACCAGTTTTTAAATTACTGCCAGTTTGAAGAATGAAATTATGCATCAAGACAACCAATTCTGAATTTAGTTTTCAATCCACACTCAGAAGCAAAGCAATGAGATTATGGATGGATGGATCTGATGCTCTGGCTTTCAAAGCCCACAGAATAAGTGGGATAAGAACCACGCTGTACGTTTCACACGCAGCCAGTCACTCCATTCTGTATCCATAACCAAAGGTCCTGGCTGACTCAGTGCCCCCAGAACTGCAGATGGGCACATTCAAGCAAAGCACAACCTTTTAGTGATCTTCACCTAAAATGAAGATCAGCAAATGAAGTATTCTTCGATTTCATCAAAAATTGATTGCTGCCTCTGAAGAAAACAAGCACATACAATGCACACAGATGCCCCAGGAGCATTAGGGATATTTATAGCCCAGATTTTAAATTCAATACTCAGGCTTTTCCCTGATATGACTTTATTAAATGTTTCCTGCCAGCTAGTATGAATTCTCTTCCAACTGTGCAACCACCACAGACTATTTCTCATCTCCATACATGCCAATCTAATCAAGTAAGCCTTAATTAGGCATGCATCACTTGAGGAAAAAAAGCTGCTTCAGCTGACGCTGGGCTGATGTGAAGCCTCCCTTCGCATGAAGTACAAGAGCAGGCCCTGCCAAACACCACACACACCTGAGGGGATCCTTCACGTTCTGCATGCACAAAGTCCACCCCCAGCCACTCACCATACCTTTCACATTCGCTCTTGTCTCGATGTGACTGAGGTCAGCTGCAACACCAGGGGTGTGTGCGATATCATAAAGGCTGAGCCTGCTCACCACAGGGCTGTTCTTCAGGAGAAGGGACAGAGGCTGCCCAATCCCTCCTGATGCTCCCAGCACTGCCACCTTGGCATTGTTCTGAAGGAGAAATAAGAAAACATGCTGATGAGTTGTTTGGCTAGTTAATGCAGAAGTGACCTTGGGGATTTCACCACGCTTTCTTTACTTTAATTCTGTTTCTCAATTTCTTTACTAAGCACCATGCAAATTTGCTTGCCTAAGCCCGCAGAAAGCCATCACCACAACAGCTTCCCAAAGATCCTTGAGATTTGCTGGTTGGACAAGAAGGACAAAAGCGTTCTTTGTGCTCTGAAGCTCACACAGAAAGCAGCATTAGGCAGAGCACTGACAGGATCAGCCTTCCTCAGCTGCAGACTATTGAATAATACCTGCTCCTGTGCACATCCAGCTCATTCAGAGCAAAATGAGTGTTGCAATTTTTTTTCCAGTTTTCAAAGCTATTATAAAAAAAAAAAAGCCTTTCCATTTGGAAAACAATCAATACATTTAATGGACTACAGTAAATGTAACAGCTATTGTACGTACGTGAAGAAAATGTCTATGCCTGAAATAAAATCTTACCTGCAACTGCCTCAAAATTGAGCCCTGAGAACATTAAATTACTGATTAAATGCAGCTGACAGGCAAGCAAAAAAAAAATCAACCCTGCTTTGTTGCCCTGTGAACCAATTGTACCCAGATGTGCTCTCTGGAAGAAAGCTGTTTCTTTTGATGACCCCCCTGTGCCCGCAGTGTAAGGAAAGCTATTTGAAAAGATCAGAAAAACTGTGAACTGTAATGTTCTGCCAAACTGATGGAGGACCAGAGGCTACTGCAGAGATGGAAGGTGCTACTGGCACTCTGTATCACCATCCTCCCAGATAAAGCTATAACTGCTCCAAGCTCACTGCAGGAACAGCTTAATTATTAGCTTAATAATAATTCACAGCATAATAAATAATCCACCCACAAGCTAGATCAATTTGCACTCAGCTCAGCATCCTTGCTACTGCAAGAAATACAATTTAGCACAAAACTCTTCAAAGGAAAGCAAAGTCTAGTATTAGTCACTGCTGCACCCCGTGTTTATGACCAAACTGATACCCTAAGATCAAAACCTCATTGCTATTGAATATAGTTCTTATTAAATTACACAATCCTCTCTCACAGAGCCTGTCTTCAGACCTCTGGTAGCCATCCTGTACACACCACAGGAAAACTGCTTCACTTAAAACGCAGAGCTCTATCTCTATCCCTCCCTACCCAGCCCAAAGCAGTACCTCCTGGAGGCCAGTACCCGCACGTAACCAGAGAATAACCCCAACGGGAAAGGCCCCCAGCCATCATGGAACGACGTGTGTGAAGCCGTGCCTCCACACAAGCTCACCCCAAAAAACCAAACCACACATCTGACAGAGCTATCCAAGCATTTCTAGGACCCAGGATGCCGGCACACCACGGATCACCGTTACTAACTGCTCAGCTCTGCTCCAGAAAGATGCAGGCAGCACCCCGCCAAGCCCAGCCCCCCCCCCCCACAGCCCCACACAGCTTCACCCCCCCACCTACAGCCCTCCCCCACCCCCCCAAAGCCCCACGCAGCTCAGCCCCCACCCCCCCACACACAGCCCCACGCAGCTCCCCCCCCCCAGCCCCACACAGCCCTCCTCAGCTTCACCTCAGCGCCCCACGGGCCGCCCCTCGCCCCTAGGCCGCCTCTCCCTGCCGGAAAGCCGGCTCCCAACAGGCACTCAACGCCTCAGATCCCCCTCTCATCTCCGAGGCTCGTACCTGGGCGCTGGTGGCCAGGCCGCGGCACAGGACGGCGGCGGGACGGGCGAGGCGGGACAGCATGGCGACGGCTGTGACTCCAACGACCTCCACGGCGCCGCGCATGCGCCGGCCGGCTACAGATCTCGCGAGATCAAGTTTCGCGTGAATTCCTCTCACACCACCTTCTCTTTTCTCTCCGCAGAGCTGCCGAGGAAGTCTCGCGAGATTTGCAGAGCGGTGTCGCTCTATAGCAACGAGGCGGTTTGCGTTGCCATAGCAACAAGGGCGAAGAGGTCCGGGCCTGGTGCGAGGCATGGCGGGGATGATGCTCTGCGAACCCACCGAGCTCTACAACATCCTCAACCAGCACCGCCGCTTCCCCAGGCTGTCCGAGCCCAACTACCTCATCCTGCTGGGTGAGCCCGTGGAGCACAGCGGGGCGGCTGGCAGGAGCGGGGCTGCTTTCCTCAGGAATGGGGCCTGTGAGCGTTGGTGGAGGGATTTCTCACCAGCCACAAGTCCTTGCTGTTGGGGCATTTCTGCCGCCCTTCTTCCATGGAGCAGCACTGCTTGTTGTTCCTTTGCCCTTCACACAGAGCAGAAAGCAGCGGTGTGTGGCACTTATTGCCACAGTGGGAAGCAGTGAGCTTTCTGCCTATGGAAATTCTGGCTTAAATTGCATCTTCCCCTCTCTGCCACCCAGAGGTGGCAGTGCTGACAGGCAGCCCTTAGCCATCACTAAGCATCTGTATCCTTCACAGTGCCAGCACCCCCAGGTGGAGCTGTGTGTTGCAGTGTGTTTAGGCTGGCAATCAAGCAGTTGGGAGCAGGGGAGGAGGTCCTCACTGTTCCCCTTACAGCCTCCCCAGGTCTGTGAGCATGGCAGCTGTGGCTGCAGGCATCCCCTGGTGCTACATGTGTTCAGACTCACGTCAGTGTCAGGTTTTGTTATATCCATTTGGAAAGCCTCACTTGCAAAGAAGCAGAATCTCTTTCTCTTGTTATGCTGGTGCTTGGATTCCCACCAAACAAATGAAGAACAGGATACTACCACATAAATATCAGATAAACCAATTGCTTTGTCTTGATTGAGTGGTGGGGTTTTTTTTGGTTTTTTTTTTTTTTTTCAGATGCCCGCACTCTTCATGAGTACAATGAAAGCCACATCATTACAGCACGCAGGATTGAACAGGTGAGGTGGGACTATACTTTGTGTAAACCATCTCTGGATTTAGCAATTAAGCAGTAACACAGAACTGGTTTAGAAACCAAGGGAGTTGTCCTCACCTCTCCCCAGCCTGTCCCAGCCGTGTTCCTGCCACTGGGGTGTTCACAAAGACAGAAAAACTGGCCTCAGTAGCCCAAAGAATTGGCATGCTGAAGTTGTATAGCAGGAAAAATATTGCACAAGAACTGACGCAGTGTTGGCTTGTCTCATAAAGGGCAGCACAGGCATCTCTACCACTGCAGCTGATGAAGCAATCTGAAGTGGTTTGTGTGATTTCTGAGTTCTACCCGGGTCTTTCAGAATGAAGTGCAGTTGCAGCCCCAGATCTGTTCACTGTGTCGATTGTGCTGCAAGAAAAGTGTGATGTTGTACTCCCCATGGAAGTCTTCTGTGATTTTTTTTCAGAGCCCTACAGGGGAGTATCTGGTGCCAGATCCTGAGGAACTGGCATGTGTCAGATACTGCGTGGTGTATGACTGTATGAGCAGCTCTTTGGACTTCTATGACTCTGAGGAAGAGGAAAAAGAGAAAGGTACATGTGGCTCATGTCAGTCAAAACCTCTCAGCAGGATGGGTGTTCTTCCTCCTCCTCATTTACTTCTGTGAGCTCACTGGACAAAGTGCAAATTTACCCAATTCTATTCGGAGCAAAATGAACATCCGTGCTGTGCCTTTGTTATTTAACTGTGTTGCACATGTTCTTAAACATAAACCATGATTTTATTTCAAAGATTTCTGGCAGGCCTGGTTTCTTATGTGATCCAATTGAAGTTCTTTGTTGCATGTAAGGAAGAAATTTTAATTTTTTTTCTTCTACATCTCACTGAAATCGGGCTTGTCCAACAATTGCCTTTCAGGAAGCAATGGTTCTTCAGAGACTGAACACTGAGTCAGGTTCCTCATGTTCACAGAGCAAGTACTTCCTTCTTTGAGGATTACAAAGCACCTTTATCCTACCTAAGAGGACCTAGCTTTAGTGGTGCTGATGCGAAGAAGTTCACTGCGAAATGCAAAGAGCTGGAAACTTTCATGCAGTTGTTCAGCCTTCCTTGACCCATGTGGAAATGTGTAATTGTAACACATCCTGTAGGAAGGTGTTCCACAAGGGAAGGTGTGAAGAAACAAAAGCAGGCTTCTGTTTTGCTGGTCTGTTCCTAAAGCAGGCACAGTTGCAGGCAACTTGGATCTCACACAGAAGGAGGAGGAGCAACCATCTTGTGTAATTACTGAGGGGAGTGTTTGAAACTTCCTCAGAAGTTGTTCAAGATTCCTCCTTTGTTCACCTTGGCTAAAGCAGACTAAAGAAAAGGGGGTCCATACTACTAAAATTAGATTTATACTTAAATACTTCCTAATATGGGAAGTTATTGCAAGCATTTCCCAAAGAATAGTGGGGAGAAAACAAAAGCGTGATCTGGTCCTACAAAAGAAACCAGGAGAGGAATAAAAGATCAGCGCTAGAGGCGAACAGCAGCATTCCTTGTGACTGTCCTCAAGCAACAGTTGAATAAGCCCAGCTTTTAACGGGGCTTTTTACACCCCGTAAGATGAAATGAACAGGAGCTCACTGTGAGCGCCAGTGGGCCGGGTTCAGCCCGCAGTGCCGCTGGAGGCACACCAAACCTGCCCCAGCAAATTGCTTTTTGCTCTCGCTAGATGCTGAGGAAGGAACTGCTGCCCGACACGCCAGCAGCTTGCAGCAGTTCAGCCGCCATCCGGTGCTTGTCCTCAGGGGAGGATACAAACGTTTCTCAGCTTGCTACCACTTCCTGAGGACTCAGAAGATACTGTGGATGCCTCAGGTGAGACTGACTTGCAAATAGAAGACTTGAACCTTCATGTTCAACTGCTGATGATTAATGAATTCAAGGTGGATGGTGCTGTAAACCCGATATCAGGGTAATTTCAAACAAAGGAACTAAATGTAATCCGAGTTACTGTGCTTGCCCCAGGTGTTGCCACAAATTCTTCTGCAGCCACACTTTGCCTTTTTTTCCTTCTTCTATTGCATGAAAATACAGCTCATGAAACAACCAGGGAAGCTTTCTCTGATAACCCTAAGCTGGCCTACTGGAGAGTCCAGATAACCGAACAAACAGTAGCAAACGATGACAAAAAAGGCAGGTTCCAGTTTACTCTCCTTTATATGCAGTTATCTGAGCTGTTACCCAGTGAGTGTTTTCAGGCAGAGGTCTGACATCTATCAAACACTGTGTTTCATGTCTGTAAAGCCCTTTGGAAGGATCACAAAGCAAGCACTCTGTTGAAGCTGTTCTCCATTGCTTCGAATTATTGAGCTGTTTGGTTCTGGTGTAGCATTACTGAGTATCAATTATGGATGTAGAAGCACTGTCAGCTACTTGTGTGTTTTTGTCATCAGCCCTTATGCTGCACAGAGCAGAAATAGCTGCAGACTTGTGCTGTGCCACTACATTGCACCTGCAGCTCTGCAGGTGGTGGATGGCTTCATTTAGCTTTGTGAACAGCAACCAGAGTTCAAATGAATCTGTTACGCTGCTTGAGACACTGCAAAAAATGTATTCTTCCACTTGTTTAGTTAGGATTTGTTTCAAGTAATGCCACAATGAAAATGTTTTTGTTCATTACTCTCAGTAAACCCAGCGAATACTTCAACACTTCAGAAAATCCAGGAGATTGAACGAATCATTGCACTTGAATGTGTCACAGGTTGTTGACTGATGTGTCTTCATTTTTGCACATGACTTCTGTTTAAGAGCTCACCAAGTTGAAAGGAGCAAATACACTCTAAAGTGAGCCCACAGCTTCTCCCCTTGCAGGAACTCGACAACTTCCAGCCGTACCCTGTAGAAATACTGCCTGGAAAGTTATACATGGGCAATTTCAAGCAGGCCTGCGACCAACAAATTCAGAAAGATTTGAAGATCAAAGCACAAGTCAACATTTCTGAACAGCCTGCAATGCTGTAAGTTGTTCAGGGTATATTTTTCCCAATATCTGTGCCTGTGAAAAAAGTGAGGTAGCATAGGAGTGAGTGCCTGTAAACTCTGAAGGAGAACTGGTTTTTTTTCACAGCAGATTTGAGTGCTATTTCACACTGAGTCCTGTGATCTCTACCAGCATGGCACCAGTGCTTTCCTTCAGCCATCTGCCATGACATGGATGGACTGGGTGAGAGAAGGACTGGGAGCCCTTGGTACTTTCCACTCTGTCATGCTTTCACGTTTCAGTTTGTCCCATTCGTTCTCTGTGTTGAATTCTCTGAGCTTCTGGAAGGAGGAGGATGCTGTGGAAGAAAACAGCTGAAGTGAAGCAGGGATCTCTGCTGACAGGACTGCCAACATGCATGCTGCAAAGGCATGCTTGCTTTCAGTTTATCTGTTTGCATGTAGCTCTCAGATAAAGGAAGCTGTAGCATAAAGTTAAGGCATGAGTACTAGTACCAGGTAAATGGAAAATCAGTAATTAAACTGGTTCTGCATTATAAGTGCCTTAGTGTTTTACCATAACGATTCCTTATCATAATGTTAGTAATGAAATGATGAAAAACTCACACATGTAACAGCAAACAAAATTATCAGCTTGCCTCCAACAAACAATTTTTTTCCCATAGTTGCTTTGCTGGTCCACGTAATGCTACGTACTCTTTTTACAGGTGGGCAGAAGAAGGCAAATACCTCCATATATCTGTTCCAGATTCACTTGAAGCAGATCTTTTTTCTTCCTTTTCTACAATTTGTCATTTCATTGGTGAGTTGTTTCTGATTTGGAATTCCTGAGCTCTCAGTCACTCTAGGATATTAAAATGGAGCAACTGCAATTCACTCCAATAGGAAGCTCAGGCAGGCAGGTCATTACCTTCAAAGATCAGTGTACTCCCAAACTAGTCCACATCCTAATGGATACCAGAGCTGCCTCAGTAACCAGACTGATGGACAGAGACAAGATTTTAGAGGGCATCTGATGCCAATGTTCCTACTTATTTTAAAGAACAGTCACTCAGCAATAGTAGAGAGCTTTGCAGTAGGTGTGAGAAGGCTTTGCTGTAGGATGTCTGCCAGAGCTGCATGTTCCTCTATTTTTAAATACAGCCCTCTGATTCTTACCAGCCCAAATCTTCAACCACCAAAGTTTTAGCTGAACAGGAGTGTGACACACATGGGAGAACTTACTGCAGAATGCTCTGAATCCTTGGGACTGGTGGGATTGACTCACCGTAAAGCCTAGGGCAATTTGAAGTTTGGACAGCATAAACCTGCCTTCAGGTCATTGTATCAGAGAGGGCAAGAAAACTGTACCAGCTCAGCACCTGCAACAGCACGGCAGACACAGTTCCTGCAGCCTTATCCTAAGATGGTGTTCAACAGCACCTTCATCTTCTATCACACTTACAAAACAGCATCTGCCACAGACCAAAGCCCTGCTGCACTCGGTCATGCAGACCCAGAAGCAGATCAGTCTGTTCCTTCAGACAGTATAATCCAAATACAAAATAAGTGGTAACAACTGGACACAAAGAGACAAGGAAATGATAGGTGTGGATATAATTTGGATATAATCTCTTGTCCTAACCTGAATTTCATGACTTGCACGGCACTGAAACCTGAATGTTGATCTCCACTTGCATATCCTTCATTAAGCCTCAAGTTTTCTTTTTGCAGCAGTATTTCAGAAGTCTCTTTCTTACATCAGTATGTGGAAGCTTCCAACACAGACTCTTAGAGTTTGTTAGCTGTGGATACTGTGCATACTGTTTATTTGATAAGTTTTGAGTAGATTACTGTAAGTGGAACGGTTATGGGTGAACACTAAAGCTCTCCACAAACCCTGAGAGAGGGGTGTGGGTATTCTCATGCTTGGAGTCTGTTGGACTGAGGCATTTCTGCTCCTGGGCCTTACCTCATGAGAGGAAACTGTGTTTTAGTGCTTGAAAAAAACCCAACAGCTTCTTGACAACAGTAGAAGCAGCTTTGCCCTACAAATTCTACAGTGCACTTGCTGATATTCCAAAAACACATCATGCTATCTATTCTGGAGAGGGAAGGAAAGCATTAAAAGAGTTATTAATAAATTACAGAGCTGTTTATGCATAGGTGGCGGAGTTGATGTGGTGAACAGTGAGTGACAGCATTCTCAGCCAAGTGGGCTTTGCTTTGGTGGAAAAAGAGTTTGCTGATCTTCATAATTTTCGCTGCAAATCATCCACACCATCATAAAACCAGTGCCCTGCCTGGTGTGCACACGCTGATCCCCACAGAACCATAGAATTGCTGAGGTTGGAAAAGACCTCTAAGGTGATCCAGTCCAACCATCCACTACTGCCCACTGACCATGGCCCCAAACACTGCGTCTGCCCTTAAACTCCTCTGGGGCAGTGACTCCCCCATCCCTGGCAGCCCATTCCAATGCCTGCCCACTCTTTCTGAGAGGAAATTCTCCCTAATATCCGACTTAAACCTCTCCAGCTGCAACTCGAGGCCATTCCCTCTGGTCCTATTGCTGTTACCTGGGAGAAGAGGCTGACTCCCACCTCACCACAACCTCCTTTCAGGCAGGTGTAGAGAGCAAGGGGTAAAGGATTTGCAGCCTGAGTCCATCAGTTTGAGAGCTGATTCCTCCAGCTTGAGTGCAGAACAGTTAGGTTTGCATTCAACAGAAATTTTGTCATCTTTAAACCTATCTGGAAGAGTTTGAGTTGCTGATGTGATGCCAACCACAGCTGATGGGTGATGGCAGGCCACTTTTCGTTGCAGTTATCTGACATGAAGTTGACACTGATCTGTCATGAAGCACCGACTGGTCGTTGTCATTTGGTTCTGGTGCTCAAAGCTCCTTCTTAACTCAGTGGGGTTTTAAGAAAGGCAGATGCTTAAAGAAACAAGAGCTGGCAGTGCACATCTGTTCCTATCAGGGTTAATGATGGTTCCTGTCTCTCAGGCTAGCAGCCTGCCAGTTTTCACCGAATTAGAGCTCTGCTGTACGATTGGAAATTTGATTTCCCAGATCACTAATTTGTGATTGGTGTTTCTTTATGCAGACACCCAGCTGGATCTCGGAGCAGTGCTGGTGTTCTCTAGCCTGGGGATAAGCCGGAGCAGCACAGTAACCATGGCCTATCTTATGCATTCCTTCCAGTTTTCCCTGAAGGTACATCACTGTCATCCTTCCCACAGATACTGGCTGAACCTGCAGTTTATTTCTGCTCCTGAAGCCTCATTACTGCAGTAATGAGAAAGAACTCATCCGTGTATTCGTGCAGACTGCCCACCTGATAGTGTAAGAGGTTCTCTTACATCTGTTGGATCTTCCTGATGCCATTACGGAGGTGGCATAGGTGTGATTTTGGATTTGTGAGTCCTTAGCTGGCACCTGTGATGTTCCTGTATTTCCCTGCTTAATAGGGAAATCCAGCCCCACAGGGCTGTGAAAACAAAGCAGTGGTTACAGATCATAGCTCTCCCGCTCTGAGATAAAGAGTATCTGGAAGCTATGAAGTTAATCCCATCTCCTAATACCAGGGGTTACAGGGCAATTCATGCCCCAGTGTTTGCAGAGCTCTGATTTACCACTGTGCTCATCAGCACCCACTTTGTCTGAAACCATTTTATTTCCTAAGAAGCAATCCCTCCCACAGACATTACTATAAAGAAATCTGGAGCAGGATAATACTAGCCCACAAGGGACGTACAGGTTAAAAGAACAGTACATCTTGTTCCAGTGCTCTGAATAACATAAGAAAAATAACAAAGGAAGGCTGAAAATGACCCAGAGGTGTGGAAAGACTGGTGGCCTCTCCCCAAAAGCCAGCCCATTTTTCCCTTTGCATGCAACACGTGGGCACAGTGCTGCTGTAGGCAGTGGCTTGTGGTGCCTGCTTGGCACAGACCAGACTTCTTCCCTATGAAAACCAAAAGGTTTCTCCTTAAAAATCTCGTCCTCCTTTGTGTGACCTCCTTTGGAAGCTGGAAAGGACTGACTCACACCTCACTGAAGCTGGGCCTGTATCTCATCATTTAATTGATTCTGTGCAAACATTTGCAACATAAGAGGAAATCTCTTACCACCAGTGTGTGCCAAAGTGTAATTCCAGGCTGAGTGTGCCAGCCGGGCAGCAGACACTGCTTGGTCTTTGCCAGTAATGCTGGGTGTGATTGCTCCAGCTCACTGATAACTGTTCTCTTGCTATTTTCTCCTGCACGCTGAGTTACCAGAGGCATTTGCAGCAGCAGTGTGAAAGTCAAAGGCTGATCCTTGCAGGTTCTCTCAGTACTAGCAGGTTGGTCCCAGCACTTTGCAAGGTGCAGTGGTCTCCTGCAGCTGGCCTGGGCCGAGCTTTCCTGCAGGATTGCCCTGTCAGACTGGTTTATTTCTTACAGGTAAAGGCAGTATAACAGATTCCTTTATGATTCTTCACCCAATCTAGGCTAACACGTCCAACAGTGTCCCAGGGCAGAGATATCTCATGAGAAACACAGATTTGGGGTGTGTGCCCCCTTATTGTTAGCTATTGATACATCTGTGGAGTTCAGGGGAAGCACAGACACGCAGAACATGGGCACAGAGGAGTAAATACTGGAAGATCAGAGCCTGCAGAATTGCTGAGATGAGAAAAACAAATCCATGGAACGCTATCTTGTAACCTTTGGTCTCATTGTGCTTATGCAATGCTCTGATTGCTGGGGGACTTTCAGAAGCAGGAAGATGAGCCCTACTGGGGAAATCCAGGGGTGTAGCAAGAGCAAAGCAGTGTAACGCTGGTGGAGTTGCCCTGCGTGTAGCAGAATCCCTAGCTGATTCCATGGGCCTAGCAGATCATTAAGATGGCTGTAATTAACATGGTGGGATAACTGGAGTTTAACAGCTGCTCTGCCACATCAACATCTGCCACACGAACACCGCAGTAGTTCAGAAAGATGATAACCTTTGTCCCTTGTGTGCAAATAGCTGGTACATTGCTGTTCTGCTTATCATCTGTGAAAGAATTAGCTGTTTGGAGGAGAAAATCCAGGCCTGCATTTCTCCATTGGTGTCAAACGATGCAAGATACATGCCAGCTAATGAGAGAAGGCTGAGCTGTCCTCGTGCTCAGGAAAGCAGGATGAAAAGATGAAAGGCTTCTCACAAGCTCACATCTGGATCCCATCTGTCCATAGTTTGGCAGCCAGAGACTTGCCTGCCAAAGTCCATCCCAGGGAGCAAACACAAAGCTGTTTTGTTCACAAGCAGAGCTGCTTGGTGTAAATACAAGACATTCATTTTCAGCTCCTATTTCTAACACTTCTTTGCTTTCTCTTTTCAGAAAGCTTGGAACCACGTTCTGAAATGCAAAACAAACGTGAGACCACACCGGGGCTTTGTGAAACAGCTTTCAGACTGGGAGGCTCAAATCTATGGGACCACCATCACTGATGTCTCTGAACCCAATTACTGAGCACAGGAAAGGATGGTTCTTTGTCTGCCCCACTGCCTCCTCTGTAGGTAGAAAGTGAACTCAACTCTGTTGACATTGCTGTTATGTAATGGAGTTGTTTTTATCTTCAGCTTTAATAAATGGAGTCCATATTTGGAGCTGTTAGGGATGCTGGTAAGGATGTGGGCTTGGGGAGAGCAAGACCTGCAGGGTATGGCCCACTGCACAGCTTGCCTCTCCTGTAAGTTAGGGGGCTTGTGGCCACATTACTGGGCATTCTCTCTGCCCCAGCTAGGGAGGCTGTTGGGGTTCTCTCTGAAGAGATTTATAGAATCACTAAGATTGGAAATAGACCTCTAGGATATCAGTCCAACATCCACCTCCCACCAGCACTGCCCACTGCCCGCGTCCCTCAGTGCCACATCCCCACAGCTCTGAACATCTCCAGGGATGGTGAACCCCCTCCCCATGCAGCTGTGCCACTGCAGCACTGCTCTTTGGAGAGGAAATTGTTCCTCATATCCAACCTGAACGTCCCCTGGTGCAACCTGAGGCCATTCCCTCTTGTCCTACTGAAAAAGTTCACTGATCCATGGCCTTGGATGACAGATGTAGAGTGTGGACTTGCAGCCCAGGGACACACCGCATTTCCCCATTTTCAGGTGTGCTTTTGCTCACCCAGTAACCTCACTTTGCCCAGCACATGAATTTGAAACCCCAAACTCAAGTCGGTACCACCCTCAGCCCTGCAGCACTACAAATTCCTTGTGCATATAGCACAAAACAAAACAAAAAAACGCCCTTGAACAAAATCTATCACTGCGTGTTTAGGTTGGCAGCACCGAAACCCCTCAAGCCCAGGATGCCCACCATCCCTCCATCCCTTCCTTGAGCAGCGCAGAGCCGGCATGGCACAGCATGGGGAGTCACAGCATGGGGAGTCATGGCACAGCATGGGGAGTCATGGCACAGCATGGGGAGTCAGGGCACGGCTCGGCACGGCAGGAGCCGCCCCCCGGTCCGCCTCGCGGGAGGCGTGCCCGGAAGCAGCAGCGCAGTGCCGGGGCCGTTCGCCGCCTCCTCCGTCCGTCCCTCCTTCCTTCCCTCCCGCCGCCACCGCCATGGCTTCGGTCGCCGAATGCCTGCGGGAGTGGGAGGAGCTGCAGGACGGCTTCCAGCGCATCCAGGTACCGGGGCCGGGGGCTGCGCGAGGGGGAGCTGCTCAGGGCTCGGTGCCCGGCCGCAAATCGCGGGGCTGCGGGGCTGTTGGGCGGCCGTGGCGTGGGGAAGCTGCGGGTCTGTTGGCGCGGAGAGCAGCCCGAGCGGGGCGGGAGGATGCTGCCGGTCACAGGGGGGGAGGCACGCTGAGCCGGACCAGCCGGCCGCCCTCCGTCCGTCCGTCCGTCCCCGCAGGAGCGGGCCGGGGTGCGCCGTGTAATCCCCGCGAGTGAGTGGGCAGGCATCGGCGCGGCCGGGGTCACCCGAGGGAAAGCTCGGCTGACCGGCTCCGCTCACAGCTCTTCCCTCTGCCTCTCCACCCCCGCGGGATGGGGCGAAGCGGATGCTGTTGCGGATTCAGCACAGCTGTGCCCAGATCTGGGGCAAGGGCGGCTCTGAGAAACGCGCTCTTGCTCCATAGGGGCCGGTCTGTGCATCCCGAAATCCCCGGGCTGGGACGCAAGGAGCTCCGACGGAGCGCTTGGCCCAAAGCCGGCTCTCTCGTGGCCGACCCCTGAGCGACAGGAGCTCCTCTGGGAGCAGGGAAGGGTTTGCTGAGTGGGGGCATCCCGCCCGACGTCGGGGCGTTAGTCACTGCGGGGTGATCTGGGTTCATCCCCACCTCACTGCTGGACACCTGAGGGAGACCGTGTTTTCTCCCTCCTCTGTGTCTGCTTTCACCTTTCTCCTTTGGGAAAGGCTTTGACATCTGCTGATAAAGTCCCCGATAAGAACTGCGGAGGCTGAAAGGAGCACGCACCAAGGTCTAGTCCAAGGGTTGTTGCAAGCAGCGCTTTGTTCCTTGGTGGCTCTGGGGCTGCCTGTGGTCGAGGTGAGGTTGTTTTTCAGCTGGCAGGACCAGAAGGAATATTGACACAGCACGGTCTCTCCTTTCCCTTCTAAATATAGCAGAAGAATGGCATCTGGTGTCACCCAGGTGCGGTTGGGTTACGGCGGCAAGCGGGGCCAGCGGCATCCCCCAGGGTGAGCTGTGGGCAGCAGGCACAGAGCTCTGCTCTCCGGTCCCACGTGGGGCCAGCAGCAAAACCACCTCTGGGTTCAGCCCCCGACTGTACCCCGGTCCAGCACTGTGTGGCTCTTTCATGGTGTCACAACTGGAGAGCAAAGCTGTGGGTTCCACAACCCTGAGACGAGGCAGCCGAGCACCCAGCCTGCTGCTGGATGTGCCATGCAGAACTCATCCTTTACAGTGGGTAACGCACTCAGAGCTGGGGATGGGCTCCCCAAACACACCTGGCTGCCCACTGTGTTGTCTGACTGCTGCTCTGTTCCCCACCCTGATGTGCATTGAAGTTACAGATGCAGCTGCATCGTTTCCACACACTGCACTCCTGGTTTTCTACTTAAAGATATTTCCAAGCAGCAGCACAGAGGCTGTTGCCGTTCTGTTTTGCTGCAGTTCCTCACTGGGCTCAGAGCACTGTGGTTCTGGGGGTGTTCTTGTGGGACAGGCGTGCACTGTGGGCTCTGTGCACTGCTGGAGTGTGTACCTGCAGCACACACTGCTCTCATTCGCAGGATAACCACAGGCTGTACAAGCAGAAGCTGGAGGAGCTGACCAAGCTGCAGGATGGGATCTCCAGCTGCATCACACGGCAGAAGAAGCGGCTGAAGGAACTGTCCCTGTCCCTCAAGAAGTAAGTTGGGGTGCTGGGAGGGAAGAGCTGCCAGGACAGGGCTGTCGGACCCGGCTCAGGGCCGCACAGATGTTAGCAAAAGGCTGCTGAGGTCTGGGTGTACCCTGGCACATCTTCCTCAGCTTTGCTTTCCAAATTGTGCTTTCGAAGTCTTGCCTGTGTTTCCTGGCGATGGGACGAGCTGCCCGTCCTCCCTGTGCTTTCCCTCCCACTCCCTTCCCTCCGGCAGCTCCTCTGCCTGCCCCGCAGATGGAACTTGCCTCCAGTTTGCTATTGCTGTCCTTGGGGTGCCCTTGTCCCAGGCACAGCACCGTATCAAGTGCCAGCACGCGCTCGTGCTGTGACGGAGCCGATCCTGATGCCAGTGCCTGCTCTTCCTCCCCAGATGCAAGACCCACGTGAGTCCCGAACAGCGAGAGTCCATCCAAGAGATCCAGAGCCTGATCAAAGAGAGACAGAATGTTTTCTTCGAGATGGAGGCCTACCTGCCAAAGAAGAACGGGTGAGAGGTGCCCCATGTTTGCGTGAGGACGGTCTCTTTGCCAGGAGCAGGCAGCACAGCTGGGGTCTGTAGGCGCCAGGATCCTCTTGGGTGAAACCTTATGACATGCTGCACCGGGTCCCAGCAGCTGCACCACCACTAGGCACAGCCCCGTGGTCACCTGCAGGTGCCTGGGCAGCAGCCAGCCCAACTCTCTGCGTCCTCCTGCTGCCCTTGAGCAGCTCTGGGTGGAAAATGGCTGGGCAGGGGATGTGGTGCCTGTCAGCAGCATGGGACGTGGTGGGAAAGGTGATAGCTGTGCCTGGCCCGCAACACGGGCAGCTTTGTGCAGGCTCCCACCTGAACACCTCTGCTCTCTCCCCAGGTTGTACCTGAGTCTGGTGCTTGGGAACGTGAACGTCACGCTGCTCAGCAAGCAGGCTAAGTACGGCCCTGCAGCGCCGCTGTCGTGTGCGTGGGGAGGTTTGGGGTTCCCTTGTCAGCGGGGGGTTATAGATCTGCAGCCTGTGAGTGCGGTACTTTCAGGCATGTGGCTGGCTTGACCCACCTGGTGCAGATTCCTTGCCAGGTCTGTCCAGTTCTCCCTTTCCTGGAAGCAGCCCTCAGTCCCTGCTTAGCTCCTGTGACCAGGCTGGGACGAACCGCTGGCTGTAATGAGTTAAATGGGACCCACCACCAAAGCTGTGCCTGAGTTTCCCTTGTGTTAGGGACTTCAGGAGGGACCCAGCTGTGGGGAAGCCTTGGCTATGGCAGCCAGTGCTGACAGCCCCCATGCTGGGACACTCAGTGAGAAGTGCTGAGCAGTGAGCCCCAGACCCTGCTGTCTTGTTCCATGGGCTCTCCATGAAATGCACCAGTGCTGATCTGCTCAGCTTCCTGAGTGCCCTGGGCCACCTCCCCAGCTGGCGTGGCTGTGGAATGATGCAATGCTGCCCTGTGGTTTGCCCTCCTCTCAGAAGTGTTTGGGGGACAAGGATTTCATTAGCTCTTGCAAGAGGCTCCCAGAAGGGCATCCCGTTTGTCCAGCCAGGTGGGAGGGGAGGATGCAGCCTGCCGGCAGCCACCTTGCTCCAAGCCTGTTCTTGTACACCCCTGCAGGTTTGCTTATAAAGACGAGTACGAGAAGTTCAAGCTCTACCTCACCATCATTTTGCTCATTGTGTCTTTCTCCTGTCGGTTCCTTCTAAACTCCAGGTGAGACTGCCTGGGGTTCTGGGCAGAGTTGTCCTCCCAGAGCCCCTGTATCCATCTCTGGTCCTGAAGAGCCCAGAGCAACACTAAAGCTCAAAAAATGGAGCTGAACAGGAGGTCCCAACAGAGGGATTGACTGCCCCAACCTTGTAGCTCTCCCCTGCCCTGGGGACACGGTGGCCTCCCAAGGATGAGCATCCTGCAGGGATGTGGTCTCCCTGCTGTCTTTACACCCTGCTTTGTTTGCCAGGGTGACAGATTCTGCCTTTAACTTCCTCCTGGTGTGGTACTACTGCACGCTGACCATCCGGGAGAGCATCCTGATCAACAACGGATCCAAGTGAGTCTCTCATGTTTCGGTGTGGGCAGTTAGTTCTCGCTCTGTGGGCTGAGAGATTGTGCACCCATCGCACAGCTCTGTGCTTCCCGGGGATGCAGCTGACACCTCCTACTCAGGGCGTGTAACAAACCTTGGTAATTAGCCCCCATACAGTAATTAGCTGTGGTTTTGAGGCAGCTGCTGGGGAGGGAGGGCTGGGTGAACTCACTGTGTGGAGGTGGTGTGGAAGGTGCGGTGCTCTGGGTACCACCTGGGCCGGAGGCGCTGGGTCCTGCTCCATGCACGTCCCTTTCATAACCATCTCTGCTCTTGCCTTGCCCTGGGAGCTACCAGGTGGCTGGCACTTGGCTGGCTCTGCTTTCCTAGGGTGCATTTGGATCCCAATTCCTGACCCCTTGCCTGCGTCTGTCTTCCAGAATCAAGGGCTGGTGGGTTTTCCATCACCACATCTCCACGTTCCTCTCAGGCGTCATGCTGACTTGGTAAGTCTGCATCCTCAGCTCCTGTGTGTAGGGACCTGGCCTGCCTGTGCTGTGCCAGCCTGGCTGACGGGGCCTTTGCTCTCTGTGCCCTAACCCACAGCTGTATTCCTCCCCATGAGCATTATGCTATAATCATCAGCTCCATGCATTCCTCAGCAGGCCCAAGCACCCCAAACCAAAGCAGCCACCAGCACCTCAGCGAGGCAGGCAGCACAGCCCGGGTCTCTGTTGGGTAACACTGTTCCCAGTGTTGCAATTCTTGTCCAAGGGCTGTGCAGTGTTTTCCTGACCCTTGTCCTGCCAGCCTCCTACTTCCTGGCTTCCCAAGCTGGGCAGATAGTGTTCCGTGAGATGCCGACACTGAAGGTCTGTGCTGTGGTCCCCCTGTTCTGCTGGGAGCTGGCAGCAGCGCTGTGACCTCAGTTGTGGGGCAGGCAGGGTTGGCAGCATCTCCTCCCTCCCACACACCCCTATCAGTGTCCTCTCTCTGCAGGCCAGATGGGCTCATGTACCAGATGTTCAGGAACCAGTTCCTCTCCTTCTCCATGTACCAAAGTAAGTGCTGCCATGCCTGCTGGGCCAGGACCTGCCTGCAGTGGCCAGGCGTGCTGTGCTGCCCAGCTCTGCAGTGGAGAACTGACTGGATACTCAGCCCACTGGGGTTTTCCCTTAGCTCTTCTCCTGCCTTCTGCCTCCCAGGGGCCAGGAAGAGCTCTGTGCACAGGCAACTCGAAGCTGAGTTGGTGCTGAGCCCACAGGCTGGTGCCGCCTGCCCTCATCCACTCTCTTTGCAGGCTTCGTGCAGTTCCTCCAATACTACTACCAGAGTGGGTGCTTGTACCGGCTCCGAGCACTGGGCGAGAGGCACAACATGGACCTCACTGTGGGTAAGCCAGGATCTTCCCTGAGGTTGTCCTGGACAGCTGGACATGCTGTCACCTCTGCTTCTGACAGCAACCCCCCTCCCAGGGCCAGGCCGGTGCTAGGCTCAGCGGTAGTTATTTTTGTTCCAAGATCAGACCGTGGTTTATGAGTGCTGGCATCAGAAAAGATGCCACAAACATAACCAGCATCCCCCCAGTGCAGCCTCTGCAGCCCAGCTCTGGCTGAGGGCAGCCCCACCTCCTTCCCTCCTACCCACTCTAGACCCCAGGGATAGGAAACCTGCCACAGTCCTCCCACACTCCCTGCCCCTGTAGTGCCCTGCAGGGCCTCAGCCAGGCACGGGATGGCCACTGAACTGCCCTGCCCTGGCCTTTGGAGCTCTGCTCCATCCTGGCCCTGTGAGCACGTTCTCAGCAAACCTTCATCCTTTGCAGAGGGCTTCCAGTCCTGGATGTGGAGAGGCCTCACCTTCCTGCTTCCTTTCCTCTTCTTTGGACAGGTGAGTGCACCAACCCTCCCGGGGACACATGGGAGGCCTGGGGTGGGACTGAGCCGCACCATTCCTCACTGTGCCCCGCAGCCTGGGCTGCTGCAGACACACAGCACAGGTGCCAGAGGCTGAGCCTCCTCTTCTTCCCCCAGAGCACCCACCTCTGTGACTTGGCTAGTGAGATGTGGAGCTGGTAGTGCTGCCAAGTGCTTGAGCGCTGTGTAAATACAGCAGAGAGGCTCTGACAACCCTTCTCAAGCCCTTCTGAACTTCAGCTCTTGAGCTGCTATGGAAGGTCCATTTCCACCATTTAGGCTGATGCTCACTCCAAGCCCGTGTGGGGTTTCATGGCTGCGCAGAGGCAGCCTGGCCTCATGCGAGGGAGCAGCCAGCTGAGCATCAGCGTAAGGGCGAGCCTTGGACAATCCCTAAATCTCCTTTCTCCTGCAGTTCTGGCAGCTCTACAATGCTGTCACCCTTTTCCGGATGCTGCAGCACCCAGAGTGCAAGGAGTGGCAGGTAGGGGTGGCTCATGGGCGGCTGCGTGGGGAGGGGTGCCCATCCCTGCTGCCTCACAGCTCCGTGGCTCCCCCAGGTTCTCATGTGCGGCCTCCCCTTCTTCATCCTCTTCCTGGGGAACTTCTTCACCACCCTTCGTGTTGTGCACCAGAAGTTTCAGAACCAGAGCAAAGACAGAAAGCGGAACTGAAGAGGAGCAGCACGGGGGCCAGGACTGTTTCTCCCCACTGGCTCCATCCCATTCCCATCTCCTTGCCTTGATGCCGTCCAGACTCTGGTGTCTCACCCATTCTGTGCAAGCCTGGATGCAGGACAGAGCTGGGGGCTTGCTTGTGAATAGAGAACGTGTTCTCTGTGGTGCTGAATCTGTGCCTGTGTCACTCAGCGGGCAGCAGGAGCACCCTGCAACACCGGGTCCTGAAGCCACGTACAGGAATGCAGCCCCTGCAGCCCCCCCACAGCAGGGAGGCCGAAGGCTGCACACACGTGCTGCTCTTTGGGATGGGGCACCCCGAGTTCTTCCTCACCCTTCAACGTGAAGAGGGGCTGAGCAGGCAGAGCTGTGGGTACAGGAAGAGTGGGAGCACTGCGAACCTGAGAACCAGGCTTCACAGCTCCCTGGCCTTGCATCTCTGGAGGATGCATATGCAAAAATAATAAAGGGAAGGTACTTCCTTGGTTTGCTGGGGTCTTGGAACAGAGCACAGGCATCGTTTTGCACTCAGGCAGTGTGGCAGTGGGCTGTCATTGCAGGGGGGAGGGATGAAAGTCATTTCCAGCTGCTCCACACCTGCCTGGGGTGAAGCACAGTTGATTGCAGTATGACAGAAAAGGGGAGGCTGAGCAAAGCCACGCTGCTGGCTGATGCTGCAGAACAAACAGCAGCACACAGCCCAGTGCAGCATCCCTGAAGCCCTCTGCTACTGCAGGGAGCTCCTGAAACAAGCAGTGTTGTGTCACCTCACTGTCCCTGTGTGCTCCCCCCATCTCCTTGGTGGGGGGAAGGTTGGAGGTGGCAGCTATTGCTTCTCCTTTCCTTCCGTGGGCCAGGGGGAAGACAGAAGGGCAAGCAGCAAACTACAGAAACAGTGTTTTTATTCCAAGGGCAAGAATATTTAAATAATTTACAGTCATTGAACAGCCTGAAAGGTTGTTTTTCTTTTTTTCTTCCATGATTAAAATCACAAAGATATTGAAACAAAAACAGTATTTAAAAAAAAAAAAAGAGCGTACACAGCATGACAGAGGGACTGGGAACAGGGGAGCTGCCGGCTGAAGGGCCCAAGGGAGCCAGCTGTGACCCCAGACTGGGCTGTGGGGAGGGGAGAGGAGCTGCCCCCTGCCCTGCTGAGTGCTGGAACCCAGGAGGGCTGCAGGGGAAGAGGGGGGTGCCTGCAGGTCCGGTCTGAGTGCAGGCTGTGCCTTTTCCTCAAAAAGCAGCCTGTGGTCATTTAAGGCCAGCATGGGGCACAGGAGCTAGCCCTAGGGAGGGTCGAACAGTAGGACAGGGATGAGAGCAGATCGCTGCCCCACGCTGCCCTTGCACCAAACCTGCCGGGTTCCTCCACCCCCGCTGCCATCCCCAGCCTGCAGGGCACAAGGGTGGTCTGCAGTTCCAGAACGAGGTGCCAGGAAATAAGGCAACACCCTGTGTTCAGAAAAGACCCGAGAGCTCCCCCAGGGCCATCCATCCCTCCTGCCCCACATCCCCAGGGCAAACACTGAGGACAAAGCCTCGGCCACCCCCTGTCCCTCCACTTGCCCCCTTCCACCACCCAGGGTGCACAGCCACAGCCCACCCTGGGGGCAGAAGAGGGGTTGGGGTGACAGTGGGGCAGCTGGAGACTGGGGATAACACGGTCACCCACAGGAACAGCGGGTGGGAGGGCACCTCCTGCCTTCTCTCCCTGGCCCCACCATCCTCTCTCTTAGCTCCATACATCCAAAGAGTACCGGCCCTTAGTCATCAGTTTCTTTACATAGTCCACGGCCTGAGACTGATTCATGTTCCCATACTCAGCCACAATCTCATAGAAAGTGTTCTGCACGTCCCGGGCCATGTTGCGGGCATCCCTGGAAAGAAGAGGACCGTGAGTGAGGTGACAACACAGAGCAAATAAAAGCTGGCTGTCCCTGAATGTGTGGATGGGGGCAGTTTGCCCTGCCCAGCCCATTTACCTGGCTGCTCCCTTTCCTACTGAAAAAAAGTGAGCAAGCGTGTAAATGGGGGCCACACTCATTTTCCAAAATATAGGAACATTCGTCCCAAAGTCCCTTCCTTGTCCCAAGACTTACCCACACACATAGATGTGAGCGTTTCCATCATTCACCAGCTTCCAGATGTGTTCCTTGTTCTTCTTTATTAAGTGTTGGACATAAACCTGGCAAGAAACAATGGGCTGTGTCACAGGCTGGGGGGGGGGGGGGGAAGCCAAGCCCATGCCCACAGACCCCCCATCCCACACAGAACCACACAGCAGCAGAGGAGCTGGGTGCTCCTTTGACTGCCCTGGGTCTCCTCAAACAGCAGGGCTGGCCGTCCCCAGTCCTCAAAGCCTCATTGACCCCCACCATCACAGCTTGATCCTTGTGTTTCCCTTCCAACTCAGGATACTCTGATTTTAGGGGAGTGATGCTGGGCGATGGGAACAACTGTGTGATGGACAAGAGAGGTACCTTCTCAGCCTGGTCCCTGGAGAAGGCGACGTTGAGTTGGGTGAGGACGCCCTCCTGCTTGAAGCGGGCCAGCTCCTGGCGGTACAGGTAGTCCTCCTGCTCACGGCGACAGCCGTAGTACAGCACCGTCTCACCCACCTCTTTGCCTGCAGTCACAAAGCACCCATCAGCCCCTTGCAGCCCCCTGTCCTGCTCACCCAGCCCAGGGCTGGCAGAGCTGTTGCTCCTGTTTATCTCGAGGCTGATCCCAAGATAGCTACGTGCTTTAGAAATGAGTCAAGGTGACCTGCCTGCGCTCTTCTGGAGAGGTGGCAGAAGTCAGAGAAATAGCTTCGATCTACCCGCCCTCTAAGTGCCCCCCTGTGGCCAGCAACCAAGAACAAAGTGTCCTTGTGCTGGGACAAGATACGCTGCCCTTCATCTGCAGTCATCTCCCCAACCCATGGGATGTGGCAATGGAGGCACCGACCAGCCCAGCAGGGCACCCCTCAGCGCCCAGGGGAGTTCTTGGCTTCTCACCTTGCTCCTTCAGCCAGGCCCGCTCCTGGATGAAGCCCATGAAGGGGGCTATGCCTGTGCCCGGTCCAATCATGATGACAGGTGTGCTGGGTTTGAAGGGCAGGCGGAACTGCGACTTCCGGACATACATGGGCACCAGGGAGTTCCTCCCATTCTCGTTGGGCACCTTGTTCTTCAGCCAGTTGGTGGCCACCCCTTTGTTCAGCCTTCCTGTCTTGGTCTCGTACTCCACCGTCACAGCACAGATGTGGATGGAGTTGGGGTGGACCTGCAGGAAGGGGACGTCAGTGTGAGGCAGAGGGAGCCCAGCTCCCCAGCCTGGCAGCTACGCAGGACAAAAAAATTCCCTCTCCAGAAGTTGGGATAACCCAGAGCAAATTCCCAAAGTCTTGTCCGTGTCAGAGCAAGGGGACTATGGCACTGTGGAGCTAAATAGCTTTCTTAGCATCCCTCATGCTGCCTGCTCACCTTGGAGGAGGAGGCAATGGAGTAGTAGCGGGCCTGCAGACGGGGCAGGAGCTCACACAAGTGGTCGATGGGGGGATGCAGCGAGGGCATGTCCTGCAGGATGGCCAGGATGTTCCTCCGGGCCTCCACCACCCAGCTGAGGTAGAGAGCCTGCAGACAAGGAAGGCACAGCCATGACTTCCCCACAAAACCACAAACACAGCCCACAGCTCTCTGACCACGGCACAACGCCTCCCCTGAGAGCATCCCCCAGACCCAGCTCAACCCGCAGCTTTGCTGGGAAGGCTGCAGCTCACACCTTCCCCTCAGCAGTGGATGATGCCATCTTTCGGAGCTGCTCCTGCTCCCCAGTGTCCGTGGCATACTGGGCCAGCTCATAGAGCACGTTGGTGCGGGGCGGGTTGGTGATGTCCAGGTAGTAGGTCAGGGCTGTACGGTAGGAGGTGGGGCAGGGGAATGGGTGTTTCTTGTTGGATTCCTCTGGAGGAGAAGAGAAGAAAGAAAGAAGGATGTCAGCAACCGCTTGCTATTATGGTAGATTGCAGCCGTGGACATTTGGGAAAGCAAAGTACCATCAATCAAGGCTGGAGACATTCAGTTCACAAACTAAGAGCAAGTAAGGGGCAGGAATGATTGCGTGAGGCCAGGCGGCCCAGGACACCACACAGGAGTCTACAGCCTCTAGCAGAGAATTACAGTCATTTACTGTTTGGAAATGAGAAGCCAGCTCTTGGACTTCTGGGCCAGCAGCTATGATGCCTCAGGTCAGGCGTTGCTGTCTCAGGAGTAACACAAGCAGCAGCTGCAGCCTCCCTCCTGCCACAGGCCAGCTCTGCTGGGAACATTGCCCAAGAAGAGCTCTTTGTATCAGCACTGAAAAGTGCTCTCTTCTGGCATCTCAGCCCCCAAGTCTGTGCATTCTCCAGGGACTGAAAAACAGTGTTTCAGACTCAAAAGCTCCTATTGAGCTCTGGGGCTGCTGCAGCAGAGGGATGCTCTGGTGGGCTGGTGCTCTGTAATTAGGAGAACGCTGTAACATAATTTGTTATTGAATGGGCACACCAAACATTTCACAACTGATCCACTTCAGCTGGCTTGCAGCAAACAGGCTCTATGCCACTACTGCAAAACGCATCCAGAGTGGCCATGGGATGTCTCTGCCTGGATGGGTCCTACAGGACCTGAGGGTGATCTGACTCTTGCTGCAGTGGGAAGGACAGAGGCTATTGCAGGAGAGCTGCTGATGTGCATGGGTGATCCATACTCACCATCCAAATTGTTCAGTGACATGATTGTATCCAGATCCGTGCCCAGAATCTCGCCAAACTGATTCACCAGAGATGCGTCATTGGCCGGATAAACAGCCACGTGGTCCCCAGACTCATACCTGGTACAAGAACAGGAGCAGAAGAGATGAAATACAGGCACTACTTCTTGTCCACGTCATGCCTGAGCTGCTCAGCTGGAGGACCAGCAGGCTGCTGGTTTGTAAGACAACACTGAAACCTGAGCTGCACCTGCAGGATCAGGGACCCCAAGGAGACAGCAGTCATGGTAGTAAAGAACCATCAGATGCTTTTTTTTTCCCCCTCCTTTTCTACATGGGAGCCCCCAAAATAGCAGCAGTTTTTCCCAGAGCCTACCTGATTTTGGAATTGGAGATATCCAGCTCCAGGTGCATAAGGTGTCGTTCCCCACCCTCGTTCAGCTTACGGTTCTCTCTAACCACAGCCAGGAAGGGGTTCTTGGCATCAAATGGCCTGGAAGGAAAGAAGGCCCCCCTGGGTTACTCTCCTGCAGGCTCACAGTACTGCTTTCATCTAGGTACGTTCCCTCTGTCTCCAGAGCAGGGTCCCACTATTAGAGCACAGGGCCACCCTGGCTGATGTTTCAAAACACCACAGCACACAACTTACGCTGCTGCTGCCCACACTTGACAGAGAAAACAATCATTTTCCTTCTCAGTACAGCCCAGCAGCCAACAGCTCCTACCCCATTAAGAACAAGTGATGCAACAGCAGATTAGAGGGAGCGTCACCTCTCAAAATGGTATTTCAGGTTGTCATTCATTTACACAATTAATCTCCCCACAGCAATACTGCGAGCAACCATCACACGTTAACCACTCCAGGGGAGGAAAGGTTCTGACTGACCTCAGGACAAACCCTGCACACCTACCAGCCAAACAGTGTAGGTGAACACAGCCAACCCCTCAAACACTAATGACTCATTAACTGTGGAACCCCTGAGAGTTCCAGAGCACATCTGAACCCATTTCTCTTGGGCAGATGTCTGCCACATGGCTGCGTCGCCAAGATGACACTGCCTGCATGGCTTGTGTAGTTAGAAACATTAAGAATGCCATCGGCCAAAGCCTGGCCCAGGGACAGCCTGGCACTTACGGCTTCTGGTTCTCGTAGCTCTTGAGGCGGCCCATCTCCCCAGTGTACACCTTGCTCATGTTCACATCCGTGTGCACCACCAGCTCGTACTGGCGGATGCTGGAAGAGGAAAGGGGACAGAAGAGAGGAAAAAAAGTCAGATTGGAAATAACAAGGGTACAATTGGAACCATCATCTGCTTTACTGGGTTTGCTGCAGTTTAGACAAAAGACACTTCTGCCCTTCACCCCTCTCAACACAGCAGGAAGCAGGGCAGTAATGCTCAGTGCCAAAAGCAAGAAGAATGATCAACTCTGCTGGGAGCACTGCAAATCTGTGTGTGCATTCAAGCTTGGAAGAGGCAACAGCTTGCAGGAAAGAGGACAGCAGCTCAGGCCTGATGGCACAGCTGCCGCTCAGACGTGGCCAATCTTTCTGGCACCCAGAAGAAAATGCTCCCATACTCACCTGGATTCCTCTCCTGTAGCCTCCACCCCAAAATGCTCACACACCGCTGGCCAGAACTGCTCTCTCCAAGTGATGAAGTCTTCTTCCAGGCTAGATGAGGAGAAAGGGAGTTTCAATATTCCTGCTCAAGAGGAAGCAGAGGGATGTTGCCAGAAGAGCCAACTGAGATCCCTATAGACTTCCTCCTTCACCATGGGAAAAGGCATCTGCCCATGGACCTACTAAGTTTTGTTACCTCTTCATGCTCACACATCACCAGAAGAGCATCTTCAGAGCACTGAGTAGCAGGACTTCCATTCCTCACACACCTCCCTTCACAGCCACACAAGGCTGTAACTCAGGCCCGCTGTCTTTGCCCATCTCAGCCACCCTTTGCCCATTCCTGGCATTAGGTCACCTTCCAGATTCCAATTTTGAAAAGTTTACTTTCCTAAATTCAGAGCCTCACACAGAGGGCAGATCCCTCTAATTAGATCCTGCCATCCTTGGAGGCAAAACCACAGGTTAATGTAATTCCTGAAGTTCAGCTTCTGCCAAGATGTTGTTCAGCTAAGTACAAACAATGGCTCTTGGACTGTGATTTTGGAACACTGCTGCATTCTACCATAAAATAAACAGCTCACAAGGAGATGGATCTTATCTCATCTGCAGGGATGAGAGGGCTTCTCCATCCAGGCAGGGATATCAGTAGAGCTGCAGAAGAGGCTGTGAAGCCTCAATAAATATACAGTTATGGTCATTTAAAGCTGATGTTGGATTTCAGCAAGGTATACAGGGTATACATGACTGATTTATGTGAGAGATTGCAGATGCACTCAGGGACGTGGCAACCACCATAAATGGCCATAAGGAGTTTACCTCTGTCTTAGCAGTAGAGCCAACACCTTGCCAGGGACCCTTCCACGTTGCTACAGCCAGCTCAGAGCAACCCTTCAAGTCGAGCTACTCACTTGCCATCATCATCTCCCAGTCCAAGCTCGAAGATGCGCTGGGCTCCAAGCTCCTCCAATCTCTTGTCCACATATTTCCCCATGGCATTGAAGTGCTCGTAAGTCTTGTTCCCCAGCCCAAAGACCTGGAAGAGAACACTGATAATCATGGAGAAGCAGGGACTGGATTTCCTCCATCAGACAGCATCCTCTGTCCTTCCCCTCCCACAAAACGCCCAGAAGTGCTTACAGACTGCTTCTTACAGAGCAGCTTAACATCTCCAGCAGTGCATTTTCCTTTCATTTGCAGTCGTGATGCTGCTTAAAGAATCTGGCTGGCGTTTAGGTGAGGTGGTTGTATCTCAGCCAATTATTCAGCTCAGCACAGAAAAAGAGCCACACACTCCTCCAAGTGATTTAATTTGTGAGAGAATCTAGCCAAGGGCTGTTCAATCAGCTCCTGAACAACAGCAGCAGCCCGTAACTCATTTACAGACCTTACACTCAATGTCTGCTGGGCTGTTTGGGCAAGACATCGCCAGCAAACCCTTGTGATTTAGGCAGTGGAGAGAGCTCCCTGACAGCTACATTTAAAACACTTAGATATATGTTTGCAAATATCTGTGCAGCTTGGAGAGGAAGACAATAGAAGGCACAGACATCATGTTGTGTTTTTACCCAAGCCATGTGCAAGCACAGTGGAAGGTTTTTGACTTTCCTGCCCAAACACAGCATAAACTGGAATCAAACCACTTACTGCAAAGCGGAGACCTGACAGGTCAGCATCAGCCTCCTGCAGCCAGTCGTAGAAGTCTTGGGCATTGTCTGTAGGATCACCCTCACCATACGTGGCCATACAGAACACAGCCAAGGACTTGTCAATCTCAGAGAGGCGACTCAGGTCCGACTAAAACCAAAGCAAAGAATAAATCCTCCACGATCGTGCAATGTGATCATTGAGCAAGCCTACACCTGCACTGCAGCTACACCCCTGCTGCCCAGAACAGCACCACATCATGTCAAACAACTGCTTACAAAAGGGGTTGGGGAAAGGCCAAGCCCATCTGAAATGGTAAGGAAAATAAAGCTAACTGTACCACTGGATTGCAAGTCAGTACTTCTGCTCCACCAGAAAAGTGATGGGATTTTCCATCCAGGCTGAAGAATAATACAATGTCAACCCCTCTGTGCAAGACTGCAGCAGCACAGTACCAATGCTAACTGCAGAAGGAACATAGAGAAAGTTTCATGCTGCCATCAGCATGTAAGACTTGTAAGAAGACTTGTAAGCCCCAAGCACTCCAGGCTACATTCCTTTTTCAGCCACATTGCAGAGTGGCACCCCCTAAACCCATAGACTGACAAGGACCCACCTCTGCAACTCTGAACGTGAGCTAATTTCATTTCCTTCTCTAAGTGAGACTACTAAAAGGGCAACAGTCCCTTGGCCATACCCTGAGGCTGTGTTCATGGCTAAATTACCAAGTCATACTCCTCTGGGTCTGCAGCCATGCCACGGAGACCATAGCGGTGAGCGTCTTTGGAGAGGCGATTGGCAAATTCCTCTGCTGTACCCGTTTGGGAACCATAGAAAACCACGATGTTTCGCCCCTGGAGAGAAGAAAACCAAACTGTTAAATGGCAATTACTCATTTGGCAAATGCACAGAGCAAGCACATCTCATCAAAATGGAAAAGCCTGGGATCAGGAGTCCTGGACCGAAGCTTAAAGGCAACTAGGAGCATGAATTTGTACAGGACTTCACACCAGGCTAAGCTGTTACCAGGAATATGATCCATGCCAGTCTCAGGGAGGCGACTCAGGTCAATCTAAAATTACAGCAAAGAATAAACTTCCAAGGTTTATTCTCAGCCACAAAGCTACAAAGTGACTCCAGAAGGCAGGAAACTCCCTGGACAAGAAAGATTTGCCAAAGCTCTGGGAGAGCGTCTGAGTGCAGGAGCTCCTGCTCCACAGCAAGCCAGTTCCTTTGAAGTAAAATGGAAAATATATCCAGCCCTTACATTTTCTCCTGCTTCCTCTTGCACCCAGTCCAGCAGAGTCCAATCTGCCAGATCTGTGTGCAATTCCCATTCCAGAGTGAGCCTGGTTTGGGAATCAACCACAAAGATGAACAACTGCCAGCCAGTGATTTCAAAGTCTCTGCCCTTTTCATCCTGACTTTGATCCCCTATTGCACTCTTGCATCAAACTGTCAATTTAGTTTCTCCTCTCTAAGAACAATGTTCAGGCAGAGACTGCTGTGAGCTACTCCTGCCTCCCACACAGACTGCCTTTGGACACTGCAGCAGAATGCCTCTGGATCCAAGTCAGTCCCACTACTGACAGCTAACAGTCTCCAGAGGATAAAGGGAATGACATGAGCTCTGTCACCTTCCCAGCATCTAGAGCAGGCAGCTTACCGTCTTCTTCATCTTCTCAATGAAGCTGCTATCTCTTGCTGGGGTTGACCTGAAAGATAGAAGAAACCTCCTTTCAGATGAGTACAATGGTTCTTTAAGGTCAGAGATAAACAAATGGAGGAAAAAGCAGCCCCTGGGCTGTATGAGATCTCAGCAGGGCTACCAAAGTGGTGAGATTCCCTATCAGCCACTGATATTTAGCCCATCCTAGGGATATCCAGTGCTCAGCTGCAGGGTGACTTCTCCAAGGACAGATAACAGAGCAGGGGAAAAGCCAGCCGCCAGCCTTACCTTCTTCAGGAAGGCATGCTGCAGGCAAAGGCCAGGAACTCAGCCCTGGGCAGCAGGAAACTTTCACTCTGAAAACTGAAAAACTGCTGGTTATGAGGACCTCGCAGAACTAGGATGCAAGAGCATGCTTTCAGATAAATCTCAGAAGCTAAGCCATGGTGTGAGATGGGGAGAACACCCTGCCTCTGCTCCTCTGTGGCGGGCAGGCTTTGGTTCTGAGCCATGCCCCAGGGAGGATTCCCCAAGCGTGAAGTAAGACAAGGCTAAAAACCAACTGTTCTGACCTCAAAACAGACCCCACAGAGCAGATGGGCACACAGAGGCTCAGTGGTGGATCAGTCTCTGGCAATATGAATGCTGCCCTTTGAGGTCCCACAGTGTTACTTTCCACACTGGGGTTTCTGTCTCCAGCACAGAGGTATTTGCTCTGTTGCAAGTAAGCGGCCTTCTATTGCTTGAAAGTGGGAAAAACCATGGCAGTCAGAAACATGCAGGCAGAGATTCACAGCACTATGGATACCCTATTATTTAGGAAGCCAAGAGAGCTTAACTATCCTAAATGCACTCGTGGGCTTTTAGTGTCACACCGTGAAAGCAATGTAACCCTGCTGACAAGTGGGACCTCTGGGAACCCCACAAGCAGACATAGCTCCAGCAATGGTCAGATTAGACACTGGGGTCTCTTCAAGGCAGGCAAACAAGTGCCAGGAGCTCACTTGCTGTCTTCCCTGCTGAAGCTTTGGTAGCAGGGAAGAGAGGAACGTGGGACCCGTTCCCATTCCTCTTTCACAATGGAAGAATGCAAGGCTGGGTCTCCTGTGGGAAGAGAGAAGCCTCCAGGCAAAAAACAAATGGTTTTGGCTCCAGCCCATGTGAGAATGTGCAGAGCTCACTAACAGTTTCCTAAACCCTGCAGCCCAGAGGGAGGGATCTGTGCGGACGTGCGGAGACATTTGCAGAGTGCACACACAGAGCAGCAGGGTGGGGGCATCCAATCCAAGCACCCCTTTCTACCCAAACTTCATAAGGAGCTCCACAACCAGGCCTGGTAGCTCTGAGCAGTGATATTCCCAAGCACCATGTATGAAAGACGGAGCAAACCCTATCCAAAAAAGATACTGACAGAGGCTGTGCTCACAAGGGAGTGCTGCTTTGCGCCCCTATCTGCCCCCTCCATGGCTAACAGCCTCTCTGTGTCTTCATTTGTACCCTGCTGGGAACAGGGGCACTGCAAGCACCTTTCACAAAGCAATTCCAACCCTGCCTCTGCCAGAACCCAAGTTCTGCAGAGCTGTCCCTGCGTGTCCCAAAGCCCACAGGACTCTCACTTCACTTTTGGCTCCCCTGTGAATCTCTTTCGTTTACTGCCCTCTGGAAATGAGATCCAATTAAAATAGCTGTTGGGTCAACTGCTAACCAGAATGCTTTTAAAGGAAGAAAAAATAAGTTTTAAATCCTTTCAGTAAGCTCCCTTTAAAGGAGGAAAGGGCACACACGGAGCTAGTCCACTTTCAAAGGAGGCAACCTCACACTGAAGAGCTGTGGTGGAGAGCAGACTGTGGCTCAGACATAGAAGAAATGAGTCTGGCTTCCGTTAAAAAAACAAAAAAAAAAAAAACAAAGCCACAGAATTCCCTGAAACTGTTTCATCAGGATGGCTTGGAAATCTGAGCTGTAAAATGCAGAAATACTGAAGACAGAAATGGCACTGATTTTCATTGTTCAGCCAGGAAAAGTTAGGAGAGAAAGCACATTTTCGGCAGACCACTCCTACAGTTCAACGTAGCTCATGGTTGTGTTTATAATAGAAAAAGTGATAGGTGGAAGAAAGGAGATTAACTCCTTTGTTGAAGCAAGTGTACAGATCACCCACCCTTGCTGAGAGCCCAGAGCACAAACAAGTCCCAGGGCGCTCTCACTTTGATTTCAGAAGGAAAAAGGGAGGAGTAGAGGAAATCACAGGCAGCTCGAAGTTATCAAAGTCTGAAGAAAAGGTGAAACAGAAAGCTCCCACACCTGCCTCGCCTACCGAAAACAAATGCACATCCAGAAGCAAGAATGCAGCTTGGTTGCTGCACAGAAACCGCTCTCACCCAAGCACCCACGCTGGAGACCTCCTTCGCAGCAGCCTGCCTCCAAGCAGTCTCTCCCTGCCTTCTCCTCCTGCTCCAAGTCCTTCCCTTTGCCCGCTGGGCAGTTCACTCACCTGGACACAGCCGCCTCCTCTCCTGGCACCGAGTACACACATCCCATGGTCAGGGCAGGGAGAAGGCAAACAAAGAGTCCCAGGGCAGCTCTCTCTGTCTGCAAGGGGAGGTGTGGGGGAAGGATCTAACTTAGCTCTGGAGAAACATGCACACAGGCCTTTCCATTCTGCTCCTTCTGGGCATTGAAGCCAAGCGTCAGCCTTTTGTTAAATAGAAGAGAGCCGGCACAAAAGGTCCCAGTCAGGGTCATAGCAGAAGTGGTGCAGCGCGCTCAGCTCCCGGTCGCGAGGCTTTGGAAGTTACACAGCAAATCCACACAGTCCTGAGACACTGCAACATCTGGCAGCAGTGGCAGAAAGGAATTAGGAGTCAAGAATGAAACCTCCCAGGATTCTCCGCAGCACACGTCCCTCTCCCATCCGCGTGGAGCTGGATGCAAAGCCCTCCCCCAGCCTTGTTACCCTGGAAACTGTTTATATCACAGTTGTTTTTATATATGTTCTTTAAAAGAAAAACAAAAAAGGCAGTGCTGTAGCTGAATGAAACGGTTCCAGACACTGTGTGAGTAATATCACGGGTAACTATGGCAGTGCCATTATGGAGGCAGCTCAAAGGAGTTCTCATCAGGATCCTATTAAATTAAATTAGAGATGGTCTCTCTAACACACACGCAGGCAGCTGAGAGCTAATCAGGCTGAGAAGTTGGAGCAATTCCTGTGACAGGAAGCCCTACAAGCACCAGAGAATGAGTCTCTCTATAGCTGCGGAATAGAGATAAGCCTGTTTGTGCCCCAAACAGTGTTAAAGACGAGGAGGGGGAGGAGAAGGGTGGGCTGACACCAAGCATAGTTATCAGTGTCTCACCCCATGTCTCCCTGTGCAACTCTGGAGCATGGACACAAGGGAGGGCAGAAATCTGTGATTGAGAAACACACAGAGATGGCCTGAGTGAGAAAAAGTAAATGAGGGCACTCCTCAGTAATGTCACCAAGTACAGTTGCCCTCACCATGGCTGCATGGAGATCGAGGGCTGCTCTCTTTAATGACATCTGCAGAGCAGGCGGCCAGGAACACTCCAGTGGTTTTAATTAAAACTGAAAACAGTCAAAATGCAAAAAATGCTCAGATGGCAGCATCCCGGGCTGCCCTGTGGGTATTTCACAGCACAAGTAGATGAAGTCTTACATGCAGAAGCATCTACATATGCTGAATCCCTTCTCTGGGGGCTTCAGGCAGGAGAAGAGCTCTGCTCCACCATACGTAGAAGGGACCAGTGAATGCTGCAGCTCAACCCACAGACACACTGACAGGGTGAGAGCAGGACTGCTCCCAGCACAAGCGGGCAGGCAGGGCCACAAAAAGCGAGGCCAGATGAGATGACATCCAGAAGAGAGTACTTTGATTATGGACATCAGCTTCAACAATCAGCAGCAATTCCAGCAGTGCTATTCCAGCATCCTTCTTGGAGACACAGCTGTGCTGACTTTGCTTGACAGAGGTACGCTGCTCAGCAGCAACTCCAGGAGGGCACCGAGGTCTCAGAGCTGAGTTCAGGTTGGAAACTATGTTTGAACTTTCATACTTTGGAAGGAAACCCAGCATCAGCCTTCACAGCCACATGAAATGCTTTTCAAACCTTCTGCTCTCCAGTCTTTCACAGTTGAAGCTAGGAGCTAAAGGAGCACAACAAAAAACACCAGCAAGTACTGCCAGATAAAGCAGCTCAGGACAGCCTGGCAAGTCAAGGTACAGCTGCAAGGAAAGTGCTGAAGAAAAGCAACATCTCTTAAGGCCAAGGATCTCCACTGCAGCTGCAAAGGGCTCTGTCTCCAGGGCCAGTTTCCCTCATGCTTGCTATACAGCCAGCCCAGGGCAATAGTGGACAGCATGATCTTCTATATTGCTGATTTACTTGTTCAACAGCAAGGAAACTCCACCCCAGGCTCTAAGATGACAGAGGGAAGGAAATCCAAGGCTGAGCAAGGTTATTTTTCCCCACTTATTTCCCTCACATTTCCAGGCATCCCATAAAATAACACTGCAACAGCAGCAGGAAGTCACTGTCTCCGACCAGAGGATAAATGTGCCATGAGCCACAGCCTGGGCTTAAGGGTCCAAGCTCCCCTCAGCTTACCACAACATAGCCACACTCATTACAATCTCCAGAGGATATCCACACGCACAAATAGCTCTCAGGCACAAGAGGGAACTATTTGACTGGTTCAACAAAATCAGGTGTCCCAGACTGTTCAAAGAGCTCTGCCTTGCAGCTAGAAAACTTATGATCTGGAGGGGAGACCAAACCTGTTCCTTTTCAACTACAAACTGAATTCTAACACAAACACTGAAAGACAAGCCTTGAGAACTGGAAGCAGCACAACTCAATAAGGTAAATACGGAGGTATAGAAAAGATACAAGGCCCACAGTCACTTGCTGTGCTTGACTTAGCTTACATTTACACACAGGGTACTAGAAGCATGTACCCCATGCTGAAATGCCTTGGCCTATCACCAAATGTCCTCTCCTGACCAGCCTGTGGAGAGAGGCTGCCTCTTTCCACAACTGACTGCAAGTGCTACTCTGTTGCTCCAGGTGAGTACTTTCAAGTGAAGGACTAAAAAGAATTTCATACCAGAGCAGCACCCTTTAAGTGCCTCATGGAGAAAAACATTTCATGAAGGGCATCTCACCACTGCAACTACTTGCAAAAATCTTGAGCCTGGTGTGAACATCCAAGCATGATCCACCTTGTCCCTCTCGCCAGCCCTCTAGCACAACCTGCAGTGTACCCAGCATTACAAACACAAAAGATTCACCTTGGTCACAAGGTTACCTTCTGTGATGGCCTACTACTGTAGAAGCATAGAGTTGGCTTTCTATCTGCAGCAAATGCATCCACGCAGAGAACAGATCCCAGGTAAGAAAGGTATTGCACAGCTCCAGCTCCTGAGGTCTCTGCTGCAGAGTTTCACACCTGTACTTACTGCTCTCATCACACAAGGCCCACTGCACCAGGAAGAAATAGCAGGAACAGGATCAAAAGCCCAGAAGAAAGCTGATGGGACAGACAAGGAACTAAACACCTCCACCAGTGCAGCTCACTCCTGGTCCTAGAAGAAAGGGAGGAACAAAGACCCCTCTCGAAATCCAGTCTCCTGCTGCAGAGACCAGGTATCAAAGCCAAACACATTTCACAAGAGCTGCCAAGCAGCTCATGTCTAGGAATTACCTTCCAGCTCCCAAGGCCCTGTTTCTTCACTTCATAACTATGAAGAGATTTCCTAGATTGATTTTCTTTCTCCAGACTTATCTATGACTTATCTTAAAATGCAGAGAATAGCCAAAGCAATCCCTAAGCATTTTGAAGTACAGCCAAGGGCTTTTAAAGTCTTTTCTTGCCTTGCTTGGCAAGACAAGTTATTGACACAGGCCACAGCACAGCAGAAGAGAACTGCAGCCTGGCTCTTCCACAGGGATTTCTGCATGGTGAGGCAAACATATCTTAAAGAAACATGAGGGGACAGAAGGGCACTTCAGGACCAAGGCTCTGCATTGGGGGACCTCAAAGGAACCCCTTCAGGGAGCTTTCAAGGATCCACTGGCAGCACAAAATCTTCCCACCCTTCTGACAGGAGGAATCCCATGCCATCACTTGGAAAAAATCACCTGTCCTCTGGCAAGGGTCAAAGCAATTTGCTGGATGGCAATGCAAGAGAACTGCTAACAGGAGGTTTTTCCCTTCTGCCTTCTCCACCAGTTCTTACAGTAGGTTGCAAGCCTTGGTGGCAACTCTATGAGGTCAGGGCACAATGAGAAATGCAGCAACTTGCCCTGAGTGAAAGGCTGGTGGTGGAAACCCCATCTAAATGTTCTCATACACAGAAATCAGTCTTCCTGCTCCTAGAAGTCTGTGACTGTAACCTCCAGGGAAGACCCAGCTGGTTGCAAGTGCTCAAGGAAAACCAAACAGGGAAGGAAAAGCAAGAGTGTCTTTGTGGTCAGAAAATCATAAGGAAGAATGAAAGTCACCCTCACCCCACACCACCTGAGCTGGTACTTACACTGTTTGGATTTTGGGGAGATCAGGAACTTCCTCCTTTTTCTTGCGGAAGAAGAACCAATAAGTAAAAAGCCCAGTGATGAGTGAGATGAGAAACACATCAGTCATGCTGAAGAAGGAGTCCTGCGCAGTGCTTTCAGGGGGGGAGACTGTTGATTCCACGCCAGCATCCCCCATGATGGTCAGAGATACTGGAAGGAAAGAAAAACAGATGAACATCAGCAATCACAGGCAACCACAGAAAAACAGAAGAGCATTAAGGACCACTCAGAACATGATTTTCCATTATACACTTAATCCTAGGAACACATGGTAGCCCAACAGCTCCCAGAGATTGAGACATTCCATCACACTCTGCAAGATGTCTTCCTTCCTCGATATCTCACTACCCTGCCATGCTTGTCCCTTCCCACTGCATCCATGCTGATCTACTGGCAGTAACTTCTGCTCATCCCCAGCCAGCAACATTGGAGCAGCCCCATGTTCCAGCCAGGGAGCCCAGGCAGGCTGCTAACAGCCCAGCAAGGCTCAGCAGGGATGCATGGCCAGCCTTCAGCAGACCTTTACCCATCACACAGCCCAAGGGTGCTTGCTGGTGGGGGAAGACACCACTCTTTCACACACACCTCCAGATCTGTCCCTCCCTCCAAGGAGATGCAATGCTCCTGATTTACTGCAGCACTCACACACCGCAAAGCAGGACTTCTGCAAGCATCCCCACATCATGCCATTACAGCAGCAAAATGGTGAGTACTTCGTATTTACTATCCCCACATAGACCCCGTCCCTTGTACCTCGTTCATCTTCATCAACTCCACTCCCTTCCCTTGTTTAACTTCTGTTTCCTTGAATTACGAGTTCACCAGTAGGAAATTGAGCAGAGTTTAAGTGATTTGGCATGGCCATACTCAAGGTCTGAGGTAGAACAAGGACATGTACCCAGCCTTCAAGTCCCTGACTGCCCAATGGCCCCTGTCCATTTCGCAGGAGCCACCCATTGCTGCCTCCCTCCCAAACTCTGCCAAACTCTGAACTCTCCTGGCTGCAATTCAGATTGAAAGATTGCCTGCCCAATGCACAAGGGCACTCTCTGTCCGGGCAAACAGATAATTAACTCAAAACCTGATTCATAAGGGCAAAGTGACTCTTCTTGCACTTAGGCACCATGCCAGCCCAGGAGACCATGGACATTTGAACCTGCACACAGAAGAGTGACTCGGAGCTGTGAGGTTGCCACCGGAGTGAGGACATGTTGAGGCCATGTCCTGTGGCAAAGCTGGAAGAGAAACAGCAAACTGTGTCTGGGATGAGAAGTTGACTTAAGTTTAAACTCTGCTCATGGTTTATTCAATTCTAAGTCCAGGTTTTCACAACAGCTCATCCTTTTCACCTGACAGCACTCATGTAACAGCTAGGGTTCGCTTCATTCTCCTATTCACATTGTTGCTTGTCGTGAGCCTACTGAAGGAGCATGCAGCTCCAGAGATCACGGAGTGCAGCACAGGGAGAAGTCACAGCCACCCAGCAGCCATCACAGGTGGGCTGCTGGGCATTTCTGCAGATCAGCGCGCTCTCAGCTCTACAGGAAGCTTCATTTAGTGAAGAGCTTGGCAAGTGACTACCACAAAAGGCACCAAAACCACTGCAGAACCCACATTTGCTGCTGGCTCTCAGAGATGACACTAAGCAGGGAGTAGGAAGAAAAACATTAGCAATGCAGTGCAGACTAGCAAAGTGCTTGCTCCTCTCATCAGGTCACCCTGTCCTCCCTCCCTCATAGAGAGGCTTTCCATCTCCAAATCTCAGAGCCAAGCAGGAGATGGGTGTTATTTCTGTGTAACTGTAGACTAAACTGTTAGGAAAGCCTCCACAACCAGATCTCTGCTGCCAACAACACACAGCTCCCAGCAGAGTCCTTCCTCTCATCCCTGATGGGGATTTACTGTAGGAGATGGTCTGAGAGAAGGCATTGATGTGAGGAAAAGCACTGCTAGCTTATTGCTTCCACTCCTGATGAAACCTCAGAGGAAGCTATTGGAAAAAATGAGGCTGATGGAGACCATGCTATGCTGGCTTGGGGCAGGCAGCCCTTTCCTCCTAAGCACCAAATCAAGCACTTGCAGCAGCAAAGCCCTTGGAAATTTTCTTGCAGCAAACACAGCAGCCATGTAACTGCCCACCAACCAGCTGCACATAGAGGAAAGTTTCTAGCCAGACACCTCTAGCAAGCAAGGGGTGGGAAGCATACAGACCCTGTGTATGCCTGGCCCCCAGCAACCCCACCCTCCAGCTCAGATAACTCAGCACAGATATCCACCAGCTTCCCAGGGCTTTGCTTTCAACAGCTAGAAGTGCAGTGCCTTGGAAGGCATCCTCAGGAGTGAAGCTTTCAGGAATGCAGTGCGGACAGGAGGGGGAGGAAGCCAGACCATCTCCTGGCCTTCACCGTGCTGCAGCTCTCCAGCACTTCAAAGGTGAACCCTACAGCTGCAGCAACAGCTGGGCCACCCCCTGCTCACTCACAGCCCGAGGGAACAGCATCAGTTCTAGAAGCTCAGGGCACAGGAGCTAGAGTCTGGTCTGCTCTCATCTCACCATTCGCAAGTCCCCATGGCAAAAAGGCTCTGTACTGAGCTCTGACCCTGGAAAGAAACAGCGCTGTCCTCCAGTGATGGAGCCAAAGACACAAGAAACACTAATTCTGATGCTTGGTTCCATTTGGCCCTGGATATTACCATTGATTCAAGCCAGCTACAGATTTTTCTTTTTTCTCTCCCTTTCCCATCCCTAGGAACCAGATGTAACAAAAGAAACACAAAGGATGTGGGACTAAACTTTACACTTCTTTTTTAGAAAGCCTGTCATAACTCAGAATTACTGATTTATCTCCCTTCACCTGACACAGGAAGATTATTTCTCAATTTATCTCAGACTCAACCTAGCTGGCTAGGTTGCAATTACCTTCCAGAAGGTGACAGCAATTCACCAGCTAATACACATCCTTCTCAAACCTCCAGTGAAGGGAAAACTGACTCTCACTTGGGATTTAGCTCTCCTGGAAATCCCAGTCTCTCGGAAGATCCTACTAGAATCAAATCAGTTCTCTACAAGGGAGAACAAAATTTATGATGCAGAAGTAAAAGTCCCCCTTATATCAGCTTCAAGGGTAGCTATTTTATCCTCAATGTTTACTGTACCTTCAGTCAAGATAACAATCAAGATAAGGCAGACATCCAACTCCCCACCTCCCCCTGCTTTTTAATATCAGTCATGCCTACATTTCTTGCTCCTCATCTATGCATGCAGTATCTGGTGAAAAGCAATCAGTCTCAGCCACGATGTAAGGTATCTACATAGAAAAGCCACAGCATTTTGAAAGACTACAGTCAAGCAGCACTATTTCAGCACAGCTTTTCAGCCTCTCAGTGCAGCTTCTAAACCTGGGACTGCGCACAGTACAGCAGCTCGCAGTCATTCCAATCATCGGGGGCATCTCTGCACATCCCCCTGCTGTCAAAGTGATGCATCTCTTTTTCACGTTAAAGAGTTTTATTTCTAATTCTACGTGGTCAGCAACCCAAGCAGATCTGTTATTCTCCCTCTATTGTTCACAGCTGGTGGCAGTATTAAGTGGTGCTACAGATGCACCCAAAACCATGCTGCAGCCCTCAGCTCCAACTGGCAGGCAGAACATCACGTTCATATAGCAGGTGGCTAGAAGGTCTCCCTTTCCCCAAAATACAAGGAAGTTTCTGAGAGTCACAGATTGCTTGTAGTACAATATAGTGACCAATAACCCTTGGCTCTGAAGTTAAGTTCATGACTTGTGCAGGAAGCTGGCTCTTCACAAAAGTAACCTTTTATCTATATGATGTTGGTGTTTTTTCAAGCATCCCAGGATGATTTGCTTTCTTGGCCCACTGCTGCAGCCTGTGAATCCAAGCTCTGAGCTCAACCCTCCTCTGACCTGTGCTGTCAGAAGCAGGATATGACAAACTGACATCAGCCCCACTGGCCTGAGATGAGAAGGAGAAGCAGACTGCTGACAAGGCACAGCCCCAGGCTGCTCTCCACCTCAGCTCCCACAGCCACCCCCCTGCCCAAGGCCAAGATTCCACCAGCCAGCTGATTACAGCAGCCTGTAGCACCAACAAGCCCAAAAGTTCAGCTTGACACAGAGAAAGGCTCTTCCTGATCCGTACACTCATGCAGCGATAAGCACAAGCCCATCTCCCACATCATTGAGTCTATTGAGGCAGCCAGCTGAACTTCTTAAAAAGCTTTTCAAACCAAACAGAGCAGCAGCAGTGCACTCTGGACACATGGAGATAAAACAAACATGGGAGCTGCAGGCAGAAGCTCTATCTCATAATATGTGCACTCTAAATCTGCAATGACTGAACCAGAGGAGTCACCAAGCAACAAATGCACGCGGTGTCACTGGGCAATAAACACCTAAGGCTCACAATGACGCTCCTGGTGCCAGGCACCATGCAGAGGCAGACCAGACAGCTCAGCCTTCTGGGTCCAGGCCATCTCAGCTGCTGGCCAGGGGAGCAAAGAACTGGTCTAAATCCAAACCATGGCCTGCAGGAGCAAGCTGTACGCCTTGCAGCTGTACAGCCATGTGGCCAGCATGAACCAGAGCACTATGTCCTTCTCTGTTCACTGAAATACTCCCATCAAGCAAGGACGCTTACTGGACTCTTTTTCTGTTTCTTATCACTGGAAATCTCTCCAAGTCAGCACCAAAACAAACTGCAACACACACTCAAAGATCTCCCAGTTCTTTCAGACTGTCTTTCTCCATGTCAGGCTCCCAGCAAAAGCCCTGTGCAGCTGCGCCAGGGAAGAGAACAAAGGAGTGTGCTGGTGGAAACAGCCTGGCAGAGCACTCCTCTTGCTTCCTGCAGCCACATGACGACCCTCGTGCCATTGACTCAGCACATACTTTGCATTATTAGAAAAAGCAGAAATACAGCTGTCACGATTACTAGCGTTGGAAGGTCTGAATGGGGGGGGAGGGGGGTGGTCAGTGTCATCACGAGATAAGGAAGCCATGAGCCTCTGCACACAGTTGGATGGAGAAGAAGGAAGGAACTTGCTTACAAGCAGGAATGAAGTCCTGTGGTAGGGAAAGGGTTGTCTGTTTTCACCCACTAAAGATAACAAGATTAGCAGGTTACTGAAGTGCCAGGAAGAAATCCCAGTCTTAAGCCCACAAGAAAGGAGTGCCAACAGGAACAGAGCAGGTTTGTGGTGGAGATGGTTCTGCTGCCCATGACTGAGTCCAGCTGCAGAGACAACTTCCCTGTGTGCTGGTGAATAGTATTAGGCCAGGAGACCTTTGGGGCAAACTGCTTCCCTCACTGCAACAGTTTGGTCAGCTGTGTGGGGCTGATTCTCACCACTGCCTGAGAAACCAAGGCTTCCTATGCACCAAGGCTCATTATGTCTATCGCTTCCATAACGCTTCCAAACCCCATCACATCCTGCAACTTGCCATTCCCCACCATCAGTTCAAGGGTGCAAGGCATTAGCCCCCAGCTAAAGAGAGGACCTTGAGGAGAGTAAGAAAAGTACACAGATCAAAGCTTTTGTGCGTGTGTGTGTGTGTGAAACAGAACAAATTACTTTCGCTGTGCAAGGTCGCTTCCAACCAGGCCTTGACATACCAGCTCAGACATCAGAATTTCTATTTTCAGAATGGGACAGATGCAGAATGTGCATCAGTCAAACTGGAGCTTGAAACACTGCATATTTGAGCTTTCACTGTTACACTGGGATTTTTCTGGCCAATAGCTCTTATTCAAGGACAGTGGAGCAGCTGTAAAAGCATGGAGAACAACAGGAGAGGGTTTACTGAGGCAGAAAGCAACTCTACCCTAGGGGTATGCCAAGGTGTGGCTATGCAATGAGTCCAGGACACTGAACCAGAGGATTTAAGGCATTATCCAACACAAGAATGAAATCAAACTTGTTTTAACAACACAACCTAGTATTACTGAGTTTGCACACTTCCATTCATCCATTCATTAAAGGCTGTCTCTCAGCCTTTAAACACCAGGCATTTCACTGGCTCAAACACTCAAACATCCACTTTTGCACAGATTAACATGAGCCAGCAGAGAAAAACAAGCATTCAGGATTGCAGGACAAACAGAACCTGAGAAGTGCGTGCAAACTGAACCCCTCTGCTAATTAGTGCTGCTCCCCAGCTTTCCTTCCTACAGAGGGACAAATTCAGAGCACCATGCCACGCATGCGTACTATGAAAGGAGAACAAAGGTCTCAATGCCACCAACATTTAGAAGTTGAGGAAAGACCACAGGAGCTGCAGATCACCCTTCTGCCAATTGCCATAGGCTCTTCTCACTCAGAACAGCTGCTCAGAGGGTTGTGCTGCAAAATCTCAGGAGTGAGCCTTTCATGCACCTATCTTGCACGGTTCAGGTCCTGACTGCTGAAGATATTTTCATGCTCAGGAGGTTGCTAATAAACACCATATTCCCTTCTGCAGCTGCTGTACCCAAAACTGCTAAAGCTGCAGTGAAAACTCCTCCTCAGAACTGGCCACTTGCTGACCCTGTGCCTGCATTCGATAAGGGCATCTATGATTTTACCCGCAGGCACTTACAGGGAGCAGAGCATCACAGGGCTGGTAGCTGCAGACTTTCATCTCTTCCACCAAGAAGAGTTTAGATGGCAAAAGTCTCTAACACTTTTCTCATTCAAAAGTCTTCCTTTGAAGCTAGCAGCTGGAAGAGAGTCAGAGATCCAGCACAAGCTTAAGAGCTGTGAACAACCTCTGTTTGGAACAGTACATTTTGGGGGAAGTTATTTATTTACTTAAAGAAAACCCTGTGGTATTTGTACAGAACCAGAATACTTTGTACTTGTAAGGTAGCTTTCCCCAGAGGATGTGGAAGCATTTCAAATATTTTGCACCCGCATTCTGTATTGATGTAAGGGCAGGAGGTGTTACCACACGATCCTTGCATGTGGCCACATTGCTATCAACCACATGGAAACTCTCTGTGAAAGCTGTCCCCCAGGCCCCAGAAGCAGACTGTACATCTGGCTGATCCAGGAGGGTGCACAGTCCCCCAGTGAACATCCTTGTCTCTGTGGGTGAGGCACTCCAAGCTGAACACCTGAGAAACACAGGCAACTCCTGAGCTCTGTTCCCTGCAGACACACACAACCGCATGCAGGCAGGCAGTGCCAGCAGACCCCAGAACATCAGCTCTGTAACCCAAAGCTGACAAACTCATGCCAGAAAGGGACATCAGACCACAGAACAGCAGACAAGACAGGCAGGGAAAGTAAGTAGGGTCACAGGTTGAATGGTTGAACTCAAGTTATAAAACTCACAACATTCCAACTCCACGCTCCCATTCTAGTATGGTCAACATAAACAGAAGATACTTGACACGCAGTTTTTCTTTCCCTTTGTAAGAATAGCTGCTCCTCTTACCTCAAGTATGTATGCACACAGCCCTGTTACACAACCACAGCTTGCACAATCCTTGCAGGCATTTTATCAGCTTGCTCCTCCAAGGCTTCAAGTTAGTTAGAATCAAGAGATGCTAGCAATGACCTGCGAAAGCAAGTCAGTAGATACATTCCACAAATAACTGTGCAGCAACATCCAGTGTACTTGCCAGTGCCACGAAGATTGATCTAAAAACACCCCAAGCAGGTAACTAAGCCTCCACAGAAGATCTGCACATGTATTGACAGAGCCAGATTTTCCAAGGAGAAAAATCCAACCCGAGCTTGAACTCTGAACCTACTCAACTCCTAGTTCAGGAAGAATGGAAAGGAAAATTAATCAGTAATTCTACTTTACTCTTTGCAAAGCCATAACTAGAGGCACAGAAGCGGCCAATAGCAAGCAGGAATGCTACAATAGTCTGCCACAGTATATCACATTCAGCTACCCTTTGGACTTGTGGCCTTAGAAAAGCCAGAGATAGGAGCACTCCTCTTCCACTCTTTGTGGACTCTGTAAATGACAAGTAGCACATAATTGACTTGAACTGCAGAAAGAGATAACAAACAGCTTGTAATTGGAGAGAAGCAGCAAGAGATTATGAGCAGCCTGCAATTATTTGTCCTGTTATATGAAATTTCAAACTCCACAAAAAACACTCTTGGCAGGCGTGCACCAGCCTCTATGGTGCTCATGACTCACTCAACAATAGCATGTATACAGACACTTGGATCAAATGATCACACTGGGAAAGCAACTTATGTAAGTTCTAAGAATTGCATTTTTAAAGGTAGGAGAGCTCATGTCAGGCAACAGAACAAAGTTCAGTGTTAGCAGAGGTAACTGCCAAATCGCTTTTTATGTGAGAGAAAAGAGATGGGGAGGAGATGGTCAGAGCACAGATCTGAGCAGGGAAATCTTGCCCAGTCCTTCAGGACAGAGCAAACATTATCTTTGCTGTGTCTCAACAGCTAAACATGAGAGTAAAGATCAAAGGGGATTTCAGTCCACGTGTGGCTCCACATGTTGCTTTTATTGCAGGTGAACTGCGTAAAGAAATCATCACTCCCCAGCTCCCAGCCTGTCAGCTCCTGCTGCCAGCCATCCGTTCCAAACCCCAGTGCGTCCACAGATACTCCACCTGTGACACTCAAAAGGAACACATTACCTTGCACCTGCTGTTCTGCAAGCAAATACTGATGGGACCCACGAGCTCCAACACGAAGGGCAGCGAGCAGCAGGGAACACTTCCCTCAAAACAAGATGAGGAGTGTGGCCACGCAATCCTGTCCAGCTGCCTGCAAGAAAGAAAAATAAAGGTTGTAGAAACCACCTCCTTGCTCAACTCAGACTAGGCACCACCCCAGCAATTATTGATTGAAAAGGAGGCAACTGCAAAGTGATGACATAACAAGAGATTTTCCTGTCAGTTAGGGCAGGACTCTAATTAACAGTGTTAAGCCAGATGTGTGGCACTAGCTCCTCCTTTCTGCCCACTCTTCTCCTTACTCTTTCAATGTAAAAGCCTTGGAAAGTAAGTGAAAGTGTTCAGTTGCCACCATTTTTCCTGCAGTGTTGGTTTCCTCCCTGTCTTCCCCACCATCATGGGAAATTGTTTTGCAAACACCTCTTTCTGCACTTTCCCATCCATGTGCAACACACAGGACTCTTTCAGCACAGCCCCAAACCTGGGGGCTCTACGCTGTGCACACCTGGATTCAGAGCAATCAACCCAACAGAACATGCATTGAGACAGCTCTAGGTTCTCCAGGAGCAGCCCAACTCACCAGCCCTTGCCCAGCAAACACCAGTTTCCTCACTTGCAGCAGACTCACCCACAAGTGTGCTTTGTGTGTGCACAGCTCAACAAAGTTGATGAGTAGATGAAAGATCTACAGGAAAAGTAAATGACAGCACTCTCCTTTCTAATTAGCAAAAGGTGCATGCGCTGCTCCTCACTGTAGGCCACACAAAGCCTAAAGCACTGCAAAGGGGAGATGCCTTCATCGATATGAGCACCGTTTTACTTTCCAAATTTAGAAGCAGAGACCTGATTCACCTTTGTGCTCTTCTGATTTCTCAACAGGATGCTACTGCTTCTTAGAAACAGCTGTAAAAGCCAAAACCCGTTCCAGTTTCCCAGATTCATTCAGACTAAGCAGAACTAAGTAACCCTTCTTCATGCATTCCACCAAGCGTTATCATTTGCCTTTATGTCCTGAAGGTTAACCCACACCAAACCCAGGGACCAAAGCACACTCCAACAAGCAAGGAGACCTCCTAAGAACCACCTCCAGTTTGATGGCTGATGCCCAACGAACACCAGAACCAGGCACCTTCACCCCCTCCTGCTTTAACAACCCCAGACACGAGACTTCCCATTATTTCCTTCTGTCAGCACGTTCCCTAGGGGATAACTTCACCCCCAGCACAGTTCAGCAGCCTGGCACCGGTTGGATTGTTAAGGCCCACGCAGCCCTGCTGTGTTCTGGGTGTCCCCATCGGACCGGGCTGGGCGCAGCTCTCTGGGCTGCCTCACCGCCATCTGAGTAAAGAACGCCCCTCAGCGCCCAACCCTAACCTCCCTCGTTTAGTTTACAGCCATCCCATATGGCTCTACGGCAGACACAGACAGAAAAGCAGCAGCGCTCTCGGCGGGACCCAGGATCACAACGCAGCCCCCCATCGCAGGGCCTCACTTCCCCCGGCCCCCCCGGCCCCATGGCCCCGTTCACCTCAGTCATCCCCGTAACCGGGCCCCGTTCACCTCCGACCCCCCGCCCCCAAACAGCCCCCTTCTCTCTCCCCAATCTCGGCACGCCACCCACCCCGCCGTGCCCTCACCCGCCCCGTTCCCGTGCCGTCTGACGCTGGCGGTGCCCGCAGCCCGGCGCGGCCGGCACGTAGGGCGGCGCGCACCACTGTGCGCACAGAGCGGGGAGAGCTGTGAGCCGCCCCCGCCTCCCGCCAATGGGCTGCGAGCGGGCCGCGCGGACACCCCTCACCGCCTCCCCCCGCCTCCCCCCGCGGTTGGTACGGTCCCAGCGCGCCTCTTGCTGGGGAAGCCTTAAAGGGACAGAGCAGCGGGGAGGGTGCGCGGCTCAAAGGTCACGGGGTGGTCCGAGGTCGGGGGAAGGATGACGGTGGAAGCGGCAGCCACGCCACGCTGCTCAGCGACAGAGGTACAGACAGATGGACATGTAGGTATACGGCCATATAGCCACGGATATAGGGACGCTGACACACGGTTATAGAGAGACAGATAGACATACATAGGGATGGGGATACAGAGATGCATACAGGCACATAGATACATGGACGCACGGGCAGATATATAGACATACAGAGATACGCAGACATACACAGGCACATAAGCAGGCGTACAGGCAGACACACAGATGCATAGACAAGCAGATATGGGTGCACAGATTTAATGTGCAATTTAACCTCAAACCATGCTTTTAGCCCTTTGCTAAAGCCCATGCTGCTGGCAGCAGCATTGCACAAGAAACGTCCCTGGAAGGAGAGATTTCACAACCTGACCCCCAAGACCTGGCTGTAGCACCACTGCAGCTCTGCTCTTTTTGTAAAGCTGCACCACAGCCACAAACACTGCTGGACTGAAGGCCCCAATGCAAGGATGCATGAGAGGCACAGAGGAGTCCTGGGGGGGACTTTGCTTCTGCAATGCACAAAGAACCCTCACTGGAGCATGACAACAGCGGTCACGGTGGTGCCTTTCACACCCCATAGCACCCATGAACCAGCCAAAGGTTAGGGCATGACGTTCAGCCTCTCTCCTCTGCAAAGCCCAGTTGGCACTGCCCACCTCCTCCTGGCTGCAAGAGGTGTGGGCAGCACAGTGCAGGCACATCGAGTCCATGGTCCCGCTGCTATCACCACGTTGACACTCACACCAGAGTCAATAACACCCACGGAGAAGGCACAAAGTCCATGTGGGTGAGCAGGGGGCACCCGAGGGGTCAGCAGAGGTGCAGGGAGAGGCACTGACCTGACAAGCCTGTTTCCAGCTGAGCAGAGAGCATACGTGGGCACAGCTAGTGTGGTCACCCAGGCCTGGATAACTGCGCACGTTGGCTTTGCCAGAGAGAAATAAGCAAACTGGGAAGCACAGAAATAAGAGGAATATTGACCCATTAGCATGGTGACAGTGATATCACCAGCTTAGCTGGCTTGTGCCCTTTCAGCCCGGAGTCACTTTGTGCCCTGCTTCCAGGAGAGAATCAATCCTGATCTTTGAAGAAGTGCCAGCTGTACTGGGAATGCACTGGGGGTACAGAAGAACAAACCTTTGGAGACAGTATGTTCTCTAGGACAGCCTGGAGTTGTATTGATTTTTTTTGTCACTATTTTTTCCCCCCTTTCTTTTTTAAGAATAACTTCAATTCTTTATCTCCCCTCCAAGGAAGGGAGCTGGTACTGCAATTTGTGATCCATAGCATTGCTGTCAGCTCAGACACATGCCAAGGCCGGATGAACAGATGATTTCTGCCTCCCTCTCCCGAGTTTCAATTCCTTCTTTCAGCCTTCAGCCACAATTGCACATCCCATCCTGTCCCTCTCTCTCCATTCCCCTCTGAACCCACTGCCAGCCCTAAGGAACTGGGACTTGGTTGAACTCCACTGCTGGAAAAGCAGCAGGTCCTCCTCTGATTTATACAACAATGTTTAACTGTCACAACTGCCCTCAGGAAAGGCAGGGAACAGACTGTTAGAAATCATCCGTGTCGTTCAAAATGTCTGTCTGAAGGCCACTGAACATTTCAAGTGCCATGTGGGCACAGGGCAGTTGCACAGTTGGACTCAGAGCAGCCCCAGGGTCACAGTGCTAGTTGCAGTGATCAGAGACCAAGTGACATGCCAAGATCTTCAGGAAGCTGACAGCAGAGCTGGAGCCAGAAGGAAAAAAACCTCAAATCGTGGTTTTGCCCCCATTCTTCTAGGATGTCCCTCCCACAGAGCTGCAGTGGGCACCTGCACCCAGCACAGAGGGGTTAAGGGCTGGTCCCTGCTGCCTCCTGCATGGGCAGGAGCCCACCTTCATTCCTGTAAGGAGACCCTCTGCCTTCTCCCCTCACCTATCAGTCAGGGCTGTTCTCGCTGCTTGCAGTGACAAAGCAGTGACTCTCAGAAGCCAACATTTACTTCTTACCACTTAATACATGCTATGAAACTACTCACTGGAAACCATGCCATCCTTTTGATGGTTCTGCAACTGGTAAGAGTTGAAACAGATCAACTGTTAAAAGTCAGCAAATAAAAATAACCAGCTTCCACACCAGCAAGCATTTTCCAATGTGCAGTGCTACTCTTCTCCAACGTGTGTCCTCTGCCACCAGCCTATCATGCAGACTGCACCCAGCTGTCCCCATGGGACTGAGACCACCATCCAGAGGCTCTCCCCACTTGACAGCAAACCAGGACATGTGGCAGTTTGTCTTCTAGATTGTATTTCAAGCTTTCAGTTTTATCATACACAACATTTACCATTGCAAACAGCCCTCATCACTCTAGTGTATTTTCTGCACAGTGATAAAATTCACAAGATCTCATCTTATGTAGATCTCACAAGGAGGAAAATCAAGGCACCAGAGTGGAACATCAACATTTCAATGATTATCTCTAGCAGTCCTTTCCTGGTATTGAAAACATCCTTTTAACTTCCAAACAAGAGCCTCATCCTGTTTGTGCTGCACACAAAACTTAACAATGAAATTCTTGTTAGCAGCTCAGGAAAAACGAGACTGTGAAACCAAGTCCATCTGTCGACCCAGGGAGGGTTGAAACAATCAGGAGTGGGATGGAGCTGGCCACCAACTCCAGGCATCCCACCACAAGCCTGTTCCCAAATTATTGCATCTTCCTTCTGAAAGCCTCTGCCCCACCTCTGTCTTTGCAAGCAGCTTCTTACTGTCATGAATCTGAGGTTCAAGCCCTCTCCCTTCACCTTGGCCTTCCCCCAAAGCAAGTCCCTGTGAAGCCACACATACCTGTGGCAGTTTTCACAGAAGAGCTGCTGGAGAAGTGGCTGTACAGCAACACATGGCTTCTTCAGACACTGAAGAGGGGGAAAGGTGAAAGAGAGGCATGCACATGCTTTGGCTCATGCATCAGCAATGCTGTTTCCAACCCTGGTTCCCTGATACACAGGAAGAGCCCTGTGCTAGTGTAGGGGACAGGCTAGGCATGTTCAAAACATTTCCAAGGGCAGAAATGCCTCTCTGTGTTACATATAACTTTTTTTTTTTTTTGGGGGGGGGGGGAGGGGAGGAAGGGAAGAAAACTTTAAGTAATGAATCAACTGCAGTAGCTGAGATCCTGCTTGATTCATAATCAGAGAAACAGGAGATTCCTCCTAGACATGGTACAGTAAAGCCACCACAAAGTGGGAAATAAAGCTCTGGCTCTCCAAGTGCTACCACCTAAAATAAACACTTGTGCTACTACCACAGCCACCAAAAGGTACGCTCTGCTCTGAATCCCATGCTGAAAACTCCTCTTTCCCATACACCTTTCTACCACCTCTAAAGAAAACCCACAGTGATTTTGCCAATATTGGTGGGTGACACACCAAAAGATGAAAAATGTGAACATCCCCAATGGGAAAGCTACATTCCAGGTAATTCTTATAACCCAGTTTTAAAGTCCCTCCCTTTTTGGATTTATGCATATTTGCTGCACAAATGGCCACAATCCCTTACTAAAGACTCTTCCACTGCTTCTTATGCATTCAAGGCTGCCTTGCTGACAAGTGCAGGGGTGACCTGTCTGTATATGACCCTGTTCATTGCAGGGGAATTGGACTGCATGATCTTTAAGGATCCCTTCCAACTCAAATGATTATCAGTGGTATGAAGGCTGAGCTAGCGCGGAGCTATCAGAAATAACAGTGTGTTGTTGAGTGCACAGACTGCACTTCAGTATTTAAGAGCTGTTTTTTGAGGGTTTTGGGGGACAGAAAAAGGTGCTTTTTATTCTGTTCTCCTTGTCCCAGCCCTGCCTTAATGCGTACCCTCAGTGGAGAAATCACTACTGAAAGACTTCTTCACTCAGATGCTGACTTATAAACTAAGGCTTCCATGCTTCCACCTTCTTCTGTGCCCTAACTACATCACACATGTAAACAAGATAGGAAGCTAAGAGCCTTGACGTAGATGGGATGTATCCTTATCTCTGCAGCATGGCTCAATCCCAGATTAGTCCAGTGTTTTGACTATTAGCTTCCATCTTACCTTGAATTGGAGGACAGAGGCTCTGAAACTGTAGGTATTGTGTGGAGAAAGAAGACTGCTAAACACTACAATGAGAAAAGTATTCAGTAGAATTAGAAATGTGGAGAGGCAATCCAGTCTCCTTCCCTCCACAATGCTAAAAGAAGTATCAAAATTAAAAGGAAATAGAATTAAAGTAATCCATTTAGGTAGTCACCTCAGAGACAGCAACAGTGCCAGCAATTGCTGCTCCGTGAGCATCACATCGTCTTCCCTGCTGCTGCAAGTCCTGCTGCTTTCTGGAGGATCAGTACACCTGAACTCTTGAAAATTCAGCTGGAACAGGAGCTGCTGAGGCTGCTGGATCCCCTGATGCTTGCTGAACCCCAGCCAGGAGGTCCAGGCCAACAGGTGACTGTGGACCAGTCAGACACACGCGCTGTGGCACAGAGAACTTGCTTATCTGGCAGCACTGTCCAGGCGAGGATCCAGTGTGGGACTGAATGTAGCCCTCTGCAGAGGCACCTCTGGCTTGGTAGGGGGAAGAAACAAGGCTGCATCTTGCATAGCTGTGCTGAGGTCCCACGTGTCCCAAAGCATGGCCAAATCCTGGCGTGCAGCTGTCCTGAAATCCCTGGCTCTGAACACCTGGGTGCTGCATCTGGGAGGCTGGAAGAGCCGAAGGTGAAGAGCAGTAGTAGCTTTGAGTGGGATATGTGCCAGGCAGCGGGGTAATCCTGGACAGAAGAAAACAGAAGGCTATACTGTGTTCAAAACTGTCACTGCCTAATTAGTGCTGGAAGTGCCCTGGGGGTTGATTTCCTCCTGACCAGTGCTCAGAAAGGTCACAGCAATTCATCAGAGATTCTCTATTACAAGTAGCATTTGAGTAAAAATAGGTTTACTAATTACCCAGGACAGATATGCTTACACCAGACCCACTCTAACTCTACACCCACGGAACGAGGAGGGTTTTAGTCTGGAGTCTCTTCATGCGAGAAACATGCCAGCCAAACCACAAAATGCTTTTACAATTTCCATAGACATCCTCTCTGCCTTCCACTGAACCTAAGTTATTGATCAGGAGAAGTCACAGCTGCCAAGTGTTATTTATTAAGAAGGCCTTCAGTAGAAGTAGCAGCTCAGGGTAGAGAGCAAAAGAGAAGGAGGAGAGAGAGTTGCAAATAAAATGAATCATTCAGAAGCAAGGTCCATAAACAGCCCTTGCCAGCAGAAGGCATGACTCATCCCACCAAAACACACCAAGTGAAAACCTCACCCAGAAGCCAAAGTCTTGGGAACTTCCAGAGCACTGCTCAGCCCATGTACATCACTAAATGAGTGCAGAGAATCAAGGCAATATTCACAAAGATCACGTGAGTACCAGGAAAAATGAGAAACTGGCTCATGCTGGGGTTTGGGGACTTGAGTTTATTTCCCCTGTACCTCATTTGTGGCCATAAGCCTGATGGAAAAGAGCAAACCTCCCAGAAATGCCTCCTGTCTGATGGGAAGTTGGTGTCTGAAGTCTTATTAATTAAAAAAACAAAAACAAACAAACAAACAAACAAGAAAACCAAGCCTATACACATATAGAGCTCATATTTAGGTATAAGAATCAAAATAGTAATTAATTAAGCCCCAGAAACAAGTATAGAACTTGTGCTTCAGACACAAAGACATACAAATTTAGCTGCAGAAATGGAAACATCCTAGAAACACCTTCCCACACCCTGCTTGATAATCAAACGTTTATGCAAATACCTTTGAGCCAGAACAGTCCGTGTCATCTCACCTAAAGAAAGCAAGTTAAGGCAGAGCTGTGCACAACAGCAGAAGCTTTAGGCTGAGGTAGACACAGGCTCAGCATATGGTGAGAAATTCCCTCCTCCCTAAAGCAGTACTAAAACAGGGAGTCACCATGTTCCCAGATTTGCCTGGCTTCCCCTGCAAGCACTCCTGCAGAGTTTGGTTGCATCTGGGCACATTCTTCCTACCAGCAAGGTTTTGTTTCATGGTTTCCCCTCAGGTGAGGGGAAATGTAAACACCTGGAAATGCTTCCAGTTCAAAGAATGCTTTACAATAAGCTGATGGCTTCAACAAAACGTGCAACTTAACCTGTAGCAGAAAACCATTGCTGTCTCTGTGAAACTGAAATGACATCTCAGGGTAGGGAAAAATTTGACCTCAACTTCTGAGTTTTTTTAGAATTTGCATGAGTTCTCATTGCTTGTGGCATAATCATTCCTGAATGTCAACTCCAGTGCTATGGTTCCTTTTCATTAAATCAACTTTGCCCCAATACAGAAAACATGCATTGAAAGGTCTCCTGTGTGATATCTTCAATTTATAATGTGCTGCTCCTACACAGGTTTGGATAAGACAAACATCCCAACGTTCGTGGGAGGTGAAGCCGTGCAAAGACTGACAAAGATCACGTCCCAAAGAGCAATTCAGCCAGACACAAGCACCAGAATTCATGTTACTTTCATGTCAGTGGAGCTGCAATACATGTAACGTGTACACAGCAGCCTTGCAGCAAATGAGCTTCACCTCAACTTAGTTTCCAGTGAAAGAGCAAACTGAGTTCATGTGTGATGATGTATCACAGCAATACCACAGCAACACCGATGTCCCACATTCCTGTTCTTAACATCCCATATAGGAACATGACCAGCACAATAAAGATTTTAAAGGTGATTTAATGCTTCCTCATGCCTCAAAAATCTCCCACAAGATATTTCATAGGAGCTCCAGTACTTACTTGCTGCTCTCAGTGGCTCTTCTCTCAGCTGAGGACCCCGGGATGTATTTTAGCCCTGGTATTCTCTTTAGCACACTGAAAGGGAACCTCTGATCCAGCTTAGAGGCCACCGACTCCGGAAGATCCAAGCAGAAACAGTAGCCAAGACCATCTGAAGTCAGCAGCACGTTAAGGAGGATTACTGACAAAATGCTCTCATTTCTTGCACTGCAACACACCATCCCTTCCACACCACAAACTAGTTTCCCTGGAGAATTCTTCTGGTTCTAGCTAGTGTTGCCCTTTCAGACCATCAGCCTTCTCATCTCCATCTTCTCTGCATACCTTAAAGCCACAGCAGAAGCATGGGATGAGAAAGAAATGCAGAACTGGGTGTGATGAGAAAAAGAGCCCAGAAAATATCATAAAGTCGATGCATCTTGATCACAAGAACTGCACCATCCTCTCTCCTCATGAAGCAACAATCTTACACTGATTTAGGGCTACATGTTCAGAAAGGATACAGGCTTTCCCAACTAGGAGCCCACAAAGGTTGCTCAGGAGAGAAGAGTGGGGGATAAACCACACCACAAAGAGCAGAAACCACGGCACCAGCATCACTGGAACTCTAAATCCAAAGAAGAGAGCCCGCTTCATTCGTGAGCGGGTGGTGGAGACACTCAGTGTAGCAAAAGCTAAAGGCATGAATCCTTTGGCATCTTCCACTTCTGACACCCTTGAGACAACAGTTTCAAGTAAGAGGTACAGGAGGCCGGTCAGGATGGCAAACACAATGGTGAGGAAGCAGTGCTTCACAGTGCCAACGTTCTTCTCAAAGCTGCCAGCAAAATACCAGATGACAATGGCACCACAGGTCAAGGATATCAGGTCTTCATAGACAAAGATGTAGGTAACCAGCCTGTGAACTGAGCATGCCAGTGTGTCAGAAAGGCAGAGACAGCAATGAATTTGTCCTAACCCGCTACAATTACAAGTTTAAGCAGAGGGAGACAGCCTACAAGATTAATCAACCTTTTTTTTAATCTATCCTGTTGCAGAAGAGAGGGAACTTGAGGCCTTTAAAACTACGAGTAAGGAATCAAAGACGGCTAAAACAAGAGCTATCTTGGGTACTGTAGGCAGATGGACTGACTTGCTGCTTACTGGGATGGTGCCTGGAAAACAGCAATAGCTTCTATAGTAAATATCAGCCTCGTTAGAAGGCAGAAGGCATAAAAATGACTGCTACAGTTTAACTCTGACTTTGCTCTCTTGCTTTAGCTACTGCAGTAAAAATAAAAAAAATACTTCTTAAACAGCCAGCAGAGAGATTTCTCTCATAAGTAAAAACATTTGGAGATTATCAGCTGGTAGCAACACCCTGAGGCCCTCTGGTTAGCAGTTCTGGGCATGCCAAGAAGCTCCCAAAGCCCTCCTTCCAACTACAGGATAAATACAGGAGAGAGCATCATTTAGCACAACCTGACAGCCCCAGGCAGGCAGTGATTTCACCATCAATTCAGCACACCACACTGCGTGAACACTGCAGCAAGGTGAGGAATTAATGATCAGCTCCTTCAGGAAATAGCACAGGGTGAGAAGAGAGCAACCAGCCAAGCTCTTAGCAGCGTGCCCCCACTATGCACTACGCCCACAGACATAGGGAAGCACAGGGAACTGGGAGAGGAGCGCTGCGGGGCTGTGAGGGCCCGGCGGCACGGCACGGCAAAAGGCACCGCGGAGGAAGGGCACACGGGCTGGGCGTAGGCACCGCTCACCTTCCCCGGCTCGCAGGGCGGCGGGCCGCAAGGCACCGGGGTGGGCGGCGAGAGAACCCCGCAGCAGGCTGGGCCCGGAGGCGCCAAGCGACAGCAGCAGCGTGAGAGCACCGCCAGCCAGAGGGCGGCCGCACCCCGCCGCCATGCTGCCGCGTGCCGCCCTACTTCCGGTCGCCGCCGGAAGGCCTTCTCCGTTGCCATGGCGACGCGAGCCGCTGCGGTACCCCGTTACCATGGCGACTGTCTTTTTTTTTTTTTTTAACCTTTCATACATTTTTTTTTTCCTTTCTTTTTTTCTTTTTTTCCTTTTCTATTTTGGTCAGCAGGGGACATTGCCATCTCATAAAGTTTCATACTGTTGGGAGCTGTCGGATGAGGGGAATGCTCAGGGACCAAGGGCCAATCTCTTTTCCCAACTCCAGCATTTTGGGGGGAGCAAAGAAAGAGCACAGTGCAGGAGCTTTCCCTCTGAGCCTGCTGTGAGCTGTCAGGAACCCCCGACCTCCCACTAGGCAATAAAAACAGTAACTTATTGTCTCAGTGCCATTTTCCACTGATCATAGAATGATAGGATGGCTTGGGTTGGAAGGGACACCAAGGATCATCAATTCCAACCCCCTGCCACAGGCAGGGCCACCATCATCCAGATCTGCTATTAGCCCAGGGTGCCCAGGGCTCCATCCAAGCTGCTCTTGAACGCCTTCAGGCATCCAATAATACAAATACTTCAATTGCTTTGGAACTAGAGATTCAAAGGCTCTACACAGAGCAACTCTTTTTTAAATTAATAATTCCAGTCACAACTCGCTTTGCAGAAACTTCAGGCCACGACAGTGGGATTTAGAAACAGCCCAACTCAGCCATCAATCCATTCCGCTGCAATCAAATTGCTTTAATTTCTGTTCATCCCTGATGAAACCTCATTTCTGAAGCCTCATTTTCTCTCCTGCCTGATAAGCCCCCAGATCACAATCTCTTCTCTCAGAAAGCTGCTCCCCGAATCAACACGTGGCTTTCTAGAACACTGTGCGCTCCGCCCATATGGCTTTCCTTTAGAAAACCCTATTACCTGAAACACACCGACAGCCCTGCCTCTTCGGCTGGGATCCGGCCGCTCCCAAAGTTCCTCGGTCTCCCCCCGCCGCCACAAAGTGGTGCCGTCCAAACGCGCCCTGCTCCCCCCGCCGCTCTCGGATCCCAGCGCGGCTCCCCCTGCACCCCCCGCACGTTGGTACCGCCCCCAACCCGCTCCCCGCTCCCCCCCCGCACCGCCGCGCGAATGGAACGCGCCGCGCTCGCTGATTGGCTGCCGGGCCCCGCAGTCTGCGCGAGCTGCGGGTGCCTCACTGTGCGCGCGGCCGGCGCTGCGCTCGGTCCCGGCTAACTTCGTTGCTCGCTCCCGCCGCTCGCTCCCGTCCCGCAGCGCAACGCCCGGCAGCGGCCATGGCGTCGGGTAGGTGCTCCCGAGAGCGCGGCGCGGGGAGGGGACGGCGGCTTTTCCCGCGTTGAGGCGGTGCGGGCGGGTGCTGGGGGAGGAGGCCGCGTCGGGGGCAGGGAACGGGGCGGCCCCCCCCCTCCCTCCCTCCCCGCACGCACCGCCCGCCGCGCGCGCCTCCGCCGGCGAGGAGGGGGAGGGGACCACGCCCCCCTAATGGCGGCCGAGGCCACGCCCTCTCCGCGGAGGCCACGCCCCCTCCCGAGAGACCCCAGTTGCGGGCAGGTCGGGCCACGCCCCTTTTTTCCTTTGGGGGCGGGGTGTGTGCGGCCACGCCTCCTGGGCAGGGGTCTGCCCTCGGTGTGGGGCCCCGCTCTGGTTTGTACAGCGCACCTCCCCCTTGTATCGTGCACCCCCTGCATGGGATGTGATCCCCATAACCCCGGATTGTGAACCCCTGGCATGGGATGTGATTTCTCTTGTTTTGGATCTTGCCCCTTCTGAACATGGAATGTGGACCCCCCCTTGAATCATGCACCTCCAGCATAGGATGTGACTCCCTCTCCCTTTGGGTCTCGGCCCTTCCCCCCGTGGGATATCCTCTCCTCCCCCTCTCCCCTTTGGATTGTGCACTCCACAGAATGGGATTTGCTCCACCTCTTGTTGCTGAGCATCATGCAGCATGGGGTGCAACCGTCTCCTTGGGCTGCGCCCCCACCTGCATGGGCTGTGCCTTCCTGCCCTCTCCCAGCTTGTGCCCCATAATTGTTGCCCATGCCCCCTAGCTTTCCCTGGGGCTTCTGCCATCAGGCTGTGGTGCCACTTCTTCACCTTGTTGGATGTGAGGTCCCATTTTGATTCCAGTAGCAGAAGCCCTGAGGAGGGAGCATTCCTTTCTGTCTCTCCTGCACAGGTGAGGAATGCCCCTAGCCCTCAGTTATCAGGGTTGTAGTGTGGTCTGCTGGAATGTATGTGAATGTCAGAGTAAGAGAAAACCAAGCAAGGTGTGCCAGAGGGCTCCTAGTGCAAGGAGCAGTGCTTTGCAATGAGAAGAAAACACATTCAAAGGTACTGCAGTGTGAAATCAGACCACACATTCTTCTGCCAAATGAATGAAGTTTGGAAGTGAACTAAACACACTTTCTTCCAGACCTCAGGTAGGAACCAGCCAAGCACCAGACGTGTCTCCTCGTTACTCTGTGGTGAGATTCTTTTTCTCTTGAGGATGCTGTACAAGCTGCTGCTTCTTTATATGAAATCACCTCATAGAACAACTTCAGTTCTGAGGCATGCATTGCATATTCTTTTTTAAGAGGAATATGGCTCCAGAGCAGTACTGTAAGCTGCATCCCACTTCACTCACAGGGAATTTTTCCATTAGCTGTTTCTACATTCAGAAGTCACTGCACATCCAGGACTTTCCAGAGTTAACTCTGTTGTTTCCAAAAACTCACATCCCTGCTGAGCCCACCAGAGGAAATCAATCAGAAGGCTGTAGACTAAGCAGTCCAAGAAGGGATAAGCAGCACAGAGAAAAAATGGATAAATAAAGGAAATTCCTCTGATTCGAGATGTCCGTATTTTACAGGCTCCTTATCTGGTTGCTTTTAGTCTCTTCCCAAATTGTTGTGGCTTGGCAGAAGTTTCTGAGGGAGAAATGGAGGTCAATTGTAGTTCTTGTGCTTATAGGTAATTACATCCTCGCTCAACAATTCTTTCTGTAACAACCATTGATATTCTTTTATTTAATTGACAGAATTAACGTTGTTGTGGTGTAACCTGACAGGTGACTGAGTGCCATGTGATCATTTGCTCACTGCCCCCTTTCCCCGAGGGATGGGGGAGAGAATGGAGAACAGCAAAGTAGAATTTGTGGATTGAGATAAAGCTATTTAGTAAGATAAAGAAAAGGATGATAATTATGACAAATAGATTTAAATGTATATAACAAGTGATACGCAAGCAGTCATGCCCAGCTGGACCCCCATCAGCAGAAGAAAGTGAGATGAACTCCCACCCTTTTCAAAACTCCTTCTCCTTGATGTCATGGGATGGAATACACCTTCGCCCAGTTTCAGTCAGCTCTCCCAATTTTTCCCCTTCTCCCAGCTCTTTGGGCCCTTTGCTTCCAATGGCCGTTGCTTTGTACAGCCCTGCTTAGCAGCAGCTATGAACATTGGTGTGTTATCAGCATCATTTTTCTCCTAAAACCAAAACATAGCATCATAGTAGGAACTCTGAAGAAAGCAGTTTCATCCCAGCTGAAACTAAGACAAACCATATGCCAAACTTGTAGCGAAGCAATCATTGTAAAGCGCTATAGCCTATTAAACAATAAGCTTTGTTATCATTCAAATGGAAATAATGTAAAAGATGTGACCTTTGCCTTGTTAAAAACGATAAACATTTGCTTTTTATTACAAAAAAGCAACAAAATATTTGTGTAGGGGTGGAAAATGATGAGAATGTGTCACATCTGGGTGAAAACACTGAGATGTGAGATCAGATGTTGCAGCTCTTGTTAGGTTCTGCTGAGCGTTGCTCTTGCAGTGTGATGCTTTCTGGTGCCTTGTGGAGATGCTTTGGGTCTGAATAGCTGAGGTGACATCCTGGTCTTGGCTGAGTGCCTGAGTTTAAGTGTAAGTACTGGCAGGAACAGATTTACAGCCAGATGAGGGAGGTGTGACGAGCAGATTTGGAGCGGTTTGCTGTGTGTTTGCTGTTTGTTTATGGTTTATGGCATTTTTTCTGCGCTGTAAGTCACTCTCAGTTTCAGCTTTTTTTAGTCAGTTCTTGGAGTGGAGGTTATGTACATAGAAACAGATGGAGAAAACAGAAATCGGGGATGAAAGCAGAAATTCTGATAGCTGGTTTTAGACCACGGTGCTGTGATGTTTGTACAAGTTCTTGGGGTAACTTAGAAGAATTGCAAGGCATTCCGCAGAGGGACGGTACTGCTGAGGCTGTAGGGAGACCAGGGTTTGGGGTTTGGTGCAAGGTGGAAGATAGAAATGTCAAGTGGCAGTGGCAGGAGTTGGGGTGGCGTTGGAAAGGTTTGAAGCTGATGGAGCAAGGTATGCTGTGCTGTGTTTGTGCCTGTAGGAACAGGGCTTTGCCCTCCCTCTTAGCCAGGGAGAGCCATCTTTCTGCAATTAACAAGACATGTAACGTGGTAAGCTAAATTAATGTGAAGACAGAACATCCTGTTTAAGCACTGAATTCCAGCTTAGTAGGGTTTCTTAGAGTTAGTAAGGCTTGTTGTAGCACTCATGGCTTTTATAAACTAGATGCTCTGCTTTAATACAAGTCAAACAATTTCAGTGATGCTGTTGATGGTGTAATTTTCCTTTTTTGTTTTGTTTGTTTTCCTTGAAGTTGTATTCTGAAATACCCATCCAATGTAATTGTCCTTCAAGAGTCAATTTCCACGATAACTGATGTTTCCCATTACTGGGAAATAATCTTCATTATACTTATCTGGGCAGCTTGTATAATGGATTTGTTCTCACATGGTTGGAGCCGTCAATAAGGGAACTATTGTGCTTCTTTATCCCTGATTTACATCTCCAAGTTCCACTCCTTGCTTCATGTGGTACCTTAAAGTGGGGTTCAGTAGCTCCGACCTCCTTAGCTTTGCTGGATTAATTAAGCAGCTGCTTTCTGTTCATTGATGATGGCACTACACTCGATAGCCATTAGCAAGGGTTGTGCAGTCCTGGCTGTTGAGGAGGAGCGTGGAAACGTGAAGATGGAGGCAGGCACTTCCAAAAGTGAAGCCAGGTGTCCACACGCCGTGCTTGTGTGCGCCTGGCCTCTTGTCTGAGGATGAGGAAGGAGCTGCCTGGTTCTACTGGGAGAGTGGGCCCCCTGTTCACTGCACCTTCCTCCCTCTCCCCAGACTTCTGCCTTTGATATCAGGTTGAGAGGAACAAGACACCCATTAGAAATTCTCAATATGACTTCCTTCTTTTCTAGATTCTGGAAGTTACGGTCAGTCTGGAGGCCAGCAGAGGTATGGATGTTTTTTTTCTTCTTGTTTTTCTTTTTTTTTTCCTGTTAGCAAATAAATATGCAAAATAAAAGGCCATTTGGGATTCCCAGCAAGACTCTGCAATCTTTGCTTCAACACTACATAGTGTTGATACGTTCTGCACCCTACAGTTGCAGGAAGCCATGGAGCCATGGGCCTTCATTAAGAGGTCTTTAAAAACAGGACAAAAAGCTGATATTCACCCAGGAAAGACAATAAGGGGATGTAATCTGAAATGTCACAAATACAGAGATACGTTTTTCATAAGACTGCCTTAAGCTGTTCCCTGAAATGTTAATCAGAGTTCATAGACACGCAGGTGATGGCCATAGAACTGTTTGGTTTTCCCAGAATAGGGATTTTTTAAAAAGGCAAAAAAACCTGGGAAAACTGTTAATAGTTTTATGATTTAAAAACTGTATGTTTGGGGTACATGGTGTAATCAGCAAAATGAAAGTGCTCCTAGAGAAGTGTAAAAACCATGGATAGCACTGCATTGTAAAAACCATGGATAACACTGTGTTTATCTGAGTTTCTTGGTAGTTTATCAAACAGCAATAAGCCCATGTGCTTTAAATTCACACTTGAAACAGAGCAGACATTAAAATAAGCTCTTATGGCTCTGACATCTGACCATGGTAACCATTCGTTTATTGACGTGTTTCTAACATGCCTACAACTGGAGGATTTTCACAACAGCACCCAAAATGCTTTCCAGCCGACATGGACGGCGCTATAAATATTTTCTAACTGCATTTTTTCTCTTACAGCTATTCATCCTATGGCAACCAGGGCAATCAAAGTTATGGACAAACACAGGTAAGCTTAAAAAAACGCGTTTCTAAGTTGGTGTAAAAAGATTCTTCCTGGGTTGCGCTGTGTGGGCTGGGCAGGAATCTCTTCTCAGCTGCCCTTGGTGTTTGCAGTTGTGTCTGGCAGAGGAAAGCTGTGCTTCCCTGCTCTGGGGTTTATGCTTCATT